CTCCTTAACTCGTTAGAGTTATTATTAATATTATTATTACGAAGCTCGCGCGAACTGAACCATGTGAACCGTGAGCAGTACTTTGATCCATATTTGCATGCAACCTACCCTTATTCATACATGAACTGATAGTGCAGTCAGTTCTGTTGCTAGTTTTCTGTTTTGCAAGTGGAGACATTTGTAGTTTGTTTTCCTCTGCTCGAATGATGTGTTGTTCTTGCAATAAGTCCTTCCGAATAATACCTTTCAACTTGTCTGAGTCCTGTTCCATCGTGTCTGTTGTGAGAGTCAAGTGACTATATTAGTGAGGGTTGTGACAGCCCGGACAGCACGAGATTACGAGTCCAGTGATCCGACAGTCAATGTATCCAAAGTGACCTCCTGAAAATGCCAGGAAATGTTAAATTTTGAATTTTCCTTTGTCCAAGCACTGCACTTGCAGGCAAATGAAACATCATCAAAAAGTGTGGAGCACGACCGCGGTACCGCGAATGGCGAGTGTCAGTGGAACCGCGCTGCTCCGCTGCATGTACCGCGGAGCAGCAGAGCCGCAGCGGAACCCGGGCCTTAGGCTGTGTTAACATGAGAATTTTCAACCCGGGTTGAAAGTCTCTACAGTCATGTATGGTGGAAAATTAGGTGAGTGCTTACATGTACCGTAAAATCCCGCCAGAGCGCCCCGTCTCTCCTGTCCGCCCCTCCCTGACTTCTTGTCAGGGATGTATCCTCGTATGACTCTGTCGCAGTCTGTGATGCCGTACTGTACTGCAGACGCGTGCTCGACCCCGTTGGAAATGTACGCAACAGTGCCCACCCTAGGTACCCTCTTGACCAGGGATCGCACAAACCCTGAGTTTTGACGGGTCTGTACGACTCCTGGCTCTTGACCTTTGGTCGGTGTACGAGATGCACGAACAGTTTTCGTAGGGTGAGTACTTTTTCATGTTGCACTGAATGCGGCAAGGGGGACTCGCCCATCCGCCTCTCCCCACCTGAAGCGACGAGGAGGTAGGGGCGCTCTGGCGGGATTTTACGGTATATGAAGTGAGTTAATCCGGGTCAATTACTGTACTGATGTGCCAACAGAAGCCTTGTCAGTTGTGGTCAGTTTTGTGTGTGGGCCTTCATGAAGACGGTTGAAAGTAATAATAATTAAATGTGGTGCACTAACTCCCTTACTTACACCACACACTACCATCCTCTCAACTTTCACTGATTTGAGACTGAAAATAAATAAATCCAAGTAATATTAGTTACTCACCTCTCACAGACCTTCCTCCTCTCTTATCACGGCCAAGGTGACCAGACATATCATGCGAGTGGCATGGATGCAAGATCTCCTTTTGTTGGCCGTCGTCTGTGATCCATTGTGGTAGGCCTTCATCTGTTTGGCGAAAAAGGACCCCACGATCCAAGACGAAGTTGACTGCAAAGCGTTTTATTGCTCTACGCCTCTTCGCGTCAGCAGGAAACGAGGCAGGCGTTTGCAAGCAACGCTTGCAAGACTTCGTCGTAACACGCCCGATTACCACCAAGAGAAGACATCTTCAGGACGTTTTGCAGAAAAAAAACCGAAAGCACAACTCATGATTGGGAACTGATTTCGCGGATGCATGTCGATCCGCGAAAACGGTCCATAGATGCAGGAAATGTGTGGAACCGTTTTCGCGGAGGAACCGTTTTCGCGGCTAGCTGGAACCGTTTTCGCGGTGAGACCCCATCCGCGAAAACAGTTCCAAGAGGGCCATAGATGCAGGAAATGTGTTGAAGAACCGTTTTCGCGGAGGAACTGTTTTCGCGGCTAGGGTGGAACCGTTTTCGCTAGCGAAAACGGTTCCAGGGGGTAACCGGTGTATGCCTGGAACCATTTTCGCGGAGGAACCGTTTTCGCGTTTACACCGGTCGCCCGACCGGGCCACTTTTTCCCAAATTCAGAAACTTTTTTTTGGTCCCAAATGTATGCAAACGGTGGCAATGCCATGTGTGCAAGTGCACTAAACGAGTCATAACTCAGTCAAATCTCAACCGAATTCCACAATTGAAACACCTACAAGGTAGCAGAGATTCTCAGCTGTCGGCTCGAAAACCTCCGGGGTCGATACGAGCTAGAATAACGGAGCTGGAAGGACTCGAACTGTTTGCTTGATTTCTCAGGATGTACGAAAACAGGAATACACCACATGCTGTACAAGAACAGTGAGTCAGTCAACTTTGACATTGATCCTTGCCATGATAATTATAATGTACAATGTACATGTGTAGGTGCTCTTGTCCATCAATGCCACAACGATTGAGGAACCAAAAAAAAGTATCCAAAAAAGTTTCATTCCGGCCGACCGAGTCTCCTTTTTGAGGGGTTGCCAACCGGAAACAAGCCTATTTTTTGTTTTGGCCTTAAAAGGTCGCTAGCTCCAGTTGACATCTACGCAGCAATCTCCGCCTCACCTCCTGCTGCATGCTCGAGCTGCTATGGAATCAAGAGTACACAATAATAGAAAAGCTGACAGGATCGCTTTTCTAAATAACCCCAGGCCCTGGGGCTATACTCTTGCTTCCCTTGGGGAAGTTGGGCCTTAGTCTTGGTGGAATACACAGGCAGTAGACGTGTAGATATACCGGTATGTGCAGCGTCCTGAGGCGTGATGACGGCCGGGAAATAATACGAATGATATGATTGCAACACCCAACTCCCTAGCTAGCTGGTCATGACAAAAAAGACGATGTTTTACACAGCGTGAGCTGTTGAATGGTGCAATCCCAGCATGCACAAGTACTACTGCAGAGCAGGGAGTCGTATGAAAAGGGTTTATACGACTCTCGGATCCCTGCTACAGAGTAATCGGTGTAGCATCGCTATCATCGCCTCTGCCGCTAGCGCTCTGGCGATGGGTGTCAAAGGTCAAAGGTCAGGGTGTTCCACAAGACGGATCGTGGAACGAAATACATGACTGTAGACGTCTACCGGTCATCATCATCATCATCATCATCATCTGCGTTGTCGAAAAAATAATAATAGTAAAATAATAAAAATAATAATAATAAACGGCATTATGCAGCTGTGTAAGCAGTAGATGCACAGTGTGACTGCCAGGCAGCTCTGTCAGATGCCAACTCGCAATTCTCATGCAGAGACATACCAGTCCACGAAACGATATTGTCAGCAAAGGAAATCTTCGGACGACCACGTCTACCGGTAGCCAACGCCAATAGCCCATGATCAGATGATTTACAGGCAAGGGAAAAGGAACAGGAACAGTGGATTAAATACAGTAAGAAGGTGGTAAAACAGCGCAAAAAGAAAGAAAGAAAGAAAGAAGATAGCTAAAGTAAACAGCGAAAATTGCAATAATGACACAAAGGTGCAAATGCGAGAAAACTCAATAAGCGCGACATGTAGTGCGACAACAAGAGACAACCACTGGACATACATGTAACTAACGAGGTTTTGACGACCTACCTAACAGCCTAAGTGTGACTTTGATTTGTTTCTGCTTGCAAAGGTTGGGTTTCCTTGTGTGGATGTATACAGCTTCCAAAACATTCAGCAATCTAGCACTGCGTACACGTGACACAATCGAAAAACAATCATCCGAATACACAGCACGACAATCAGGATGCTCAAACAAATGACTAGCAATGGACGACTCATACTTATCAGAACTAACATCAGAACAATCAGCATGTGCGGTGGACACATCCGATTTCACATGGCTAGTCGAGTGGACCCTAGCCGTTGCCTCTGTCTGTGCTTTAGTCGCTGCCATCGCCGCCGTTGCCGATCTTGTCATTCTTCTGGTTGATGCGGTTCCTGTCACTGCCACGCAGGTCGTCAAAACCTCGTTAGTTACATGTATGTCCAGTGGTTGTCTCTTGTTGTCGCACTACATGTCGCGCTTATTGAGTTTTCTCGCATTTGCACCTTTGTGTCATTATTGCAATTTTCGCTGTTTACTTTAGCTATCTTCTTTCTTTCTTTCTTTCTTTTTGCGCTGTTTTACCACCTTCTTACTGTATTTAATCCACTGATCAGATGATTGATAGCATTTTGCTCACGAGATACAAGCACATAGTCATTACTCGTGCTGTACTTTGCCCTCTGTTCGACAGCTTCCTGGTCGAACAAGGTTGAGTTGGCTGCATGAAAACGTCATTGTCGCCTCGCCGTTTACCTCTCTATAGGTATTTTGTTACTTGCCGAATACGTATACATGTACCCGCTATAATTATTACATCTCTTCACATGTCAAGAAAAGCTGTGAGCGCACTCACTGTACATGTTATGTGACTGAAGATGTGAAGGCGAGGTGGTGGTGGCTGGAGGAGGAACAACACGTCGACATGCAGGTAGCAAGCTACAGGAAAACGTCGCAGAAACGTTACACGTCGCTCCTCAGTCCTGGAGTGTGAACGCTGGCCAACTAAACTAAGAGTAAGAAAGAGTGTCGGCAGAGTGCTTGCACTTCCCGCTGACCGAAACCTGGTGTTAGTTATGCCGTGTACTCCTGTACTGCTTTGTCTTGTAGCACCGAGAATTGACAAGGTCCGTTGACAACTGAACTGTGCCAGTCCACCTGAGCTGTGCGGGCATGCAGAGCTATGACATCAAGCCATGACAGCCCAATGTCTACAACTTACAACAAGCATGCTAAACTAAAATGACACTTGACTACAAGGGGAATAATTACTATTATACGTCTAACCTCTACAGGCTTCGAAGTAGCACCATAATCGTGAGGTGAGTCAGTGATGAGTCAGTGGCGACATGGCGTAGGATGAAGGGACGGTCCAAGAGATTGAAAGGCATACCTTCAATCTTCATGTCACGCGCAGTTGCGACGGTTGTGTGTGCAATCATAGCCATTGCACTTTTGCTATGGTATTGGAGAATGGATTGCAAATGCCTTGTCACAGACATGACTCTCGGTGGCAGTACAAATACCCTGACATCCTGATCTACATACCGGCAGTGAGGAGGAAACTTTCCCTGTGGGTGTCCCCAAACTACCAAGCCAATGACGACACTCGGATGATTCTATTTCGCTGTGACGCGTTTGCAGTCAGTCGGGTCCATGCATGGCCCTTCGCGGATACCGACCGTGGCGCCTGGTGTGGGTAGAGTCACTTCCCGCCCGGTGAAACCTGGCCTAGGCCTAGCCGGGGCGTAACTCTGCTCTATGAAAAGTTCTGCGCTGAGCCAGCCGTGCTCAGTTTGTCGCTTGGCCTGGTCGGTACGTTACTACATGTAGGGCCGACGGGCTGATCATCGTCTTCGTCTTCGAGGACCTTCCCGATCGTCAACCGCCGCAGACTGATCAGACAAGAGCTACAGCCTACAGGTGAGTTGCCTAGGCCCTATTCATACTACATGACTGTGGTTTTGCGGCAGTGCATGGCTGCATGGCTGCATGGCTGCATGGCTGCATGGCTGCATGGCTGCATGGCTTGATCAGCGGCACTGGCAACACACTGTCGCTGTTGCTTGGGTTATCTGAAGACTGCAATGATTGTGTGAAGGTTCATGCCAAGAAGCACGAGCTTGCAAGGACCGACGACGCGTCAAATCTATCAATCACGTCAGCCATGACAACGAAGAGGAGCTTGGCTTTGCGATGTTTCTTCTTCCGAACATTGTCCTCTTGTCTCTTTCTTTCTACTTTGTGATGTTTCTGCCACATGCCCAGACTTCGCGTTCATCACTGCCAGTGCAGTACTGGTTGTACTAGCGACCCCCCAAGTCCACTGACTGAGGTCAGGAGAACGGTACAGGCGCTAGGCTACAATCCGGGTCAACGTGCACACTGCATGCTCAGCTGAGTTTGCACCTGGAAGCGGAACTCGGAGGGCAGCTGATGAACTGTAGCTATTTGGAGAATGCTTAGCGCCTGCATGCACTCTTCCTGAAAGTAAGTAAGTAATTAGTTACCAGTAGTTGGTCCTGATCCAGCTGCTGCATTACGATGTCTGCCAGCCAGGACAAGGTGCTCCCCGCTGTCGAAGCGGGCAGCCACACAAGCACGGCTCGTGGCGGCTCCGGTGCGACGACACTAGCGGACGCGGAGCTTGACAAGTTAGCGAGAGCTGTGATTTCAGCTTCTGCAATGGCTCGTGCCGGCAATGCAGAGGAGGAACTGGCGGAAGCACTGGACCGTTTGACGAAGTGGGTCCAGGGTAGCGTTGGGAACGGTGCAGAGAGGAGGTCGTTTACAACAGGTGTTGATGCTGATGCTGATGCTGAGGCTGATTGTGCTGGTGCTGATGCTGGTGCTGGTGATGCTGGTGCAGGTGCTCCTGTTGCTGCTGCTGCTGTTGATGCTGCTGTTGATGCTGGTGATGCTGCTGCTGTTACCTCTGATGATGTTGGTGATGGCCCACACCCAGGAGGAGCCAGTGCAGTCAGTCCTGACGGTGAAAGTTTTGTGGCATCGCGGAATGAACGAATAGCGGCTCTGGTCAAGCAGAATGGTGGAACCTTTGTGGCACAGGTTAGTCGCTGTGAACCACTTCATGTTACCCTCGTGTAGACCCTGCAGGTCCTGTGACAGAATGATGTGTGCACATGCCTACGGTAACACCCCCCCCCCCCCCCAGTAAAACACATACGGTATAATGCTCAATCTGAGGTCTGAACTGTTTCGTCCTTTGTGGACTCATCAGCGCAGTATGGAGAACATGAGGCCGAACCTGATAGTAATGAAAAATAAATTCTCGTACTTTACCAGAGTGCTCAAACTGACTGGTCAGTGAGCTCCGCATAACGCAAACAGCAAAGGCACTACCCCACGTGACAGTGCTCAACTACTACTGTCGTGGACATGGAAATCCGGTCGCACGTCTAGCGACCCCAGGCCAGGGCGCGGCCATGCAGTCGTGAGTATAAGCGGTACACACATGCATTTATGCGCTGCAGCGCGCTGGTTGCATCGGATCAACATGCACTTCACGCAGCGTTCTGTACACGCTGAGGGCGCCGGCCCCGGTCAATCGACTGGATTTCCATGTCCGCTACAGTACAAGAGCAGGAGAATTAGACAGTGCATCTACGCCCATAGCCCGTTTGCATGAGAAATTGAAACCTGGGCGTATTTGTTCACCCGTTTAGATGATGGAGTGCGGTACGGGCTGCAGCCAGGCGGCGCTTGTGGCTTTAGCCTTAGGTGGGTGAGGCCTAGTCCGGCGTACATCTCGGGATCAAATGCTGCACGCATGGAGTTGCGCAGGGAGACACATGTGACACTGTTTCACGGCCGCCGGAAACACGCGCACAGAACAGGCCTTGAATCACAATAAAAATAATAAAATGATTGGCTGACATGCAGTTTTCAAGCTCTGTTGCGTTGACACAGTGCAGCACGCTTGCGTTTCACGCTCTGTGTGATTTGATGCAGTGCTTGCGACACACCCACAACACCCACAACACACACAACACACATGTATGCACAGTCATGCAGCACGACACACTCGCTGACAGACGTCAAGTGATTGCGGTGACTGTGTCTATCTGGATACAGTCAACTTCGCTAATAACGACTGCGGATATAACGACTGCGGATATAACGACAATTCGCGAATAGCGACAGAATTTCCGTGCCCAGAGCAAAGTCCCACCTAACTGTAATACATGTAATGACACTTCGGGTATAAGGATACTTTGCGAATAAGGACACTTTTCTAGTGCCCCATCGAGTGTCGTTATACGCAAAGTTGACTCTACATCATAGCACTTGAGGTGGTAGTAGGCTGGGTGTGTGCGTGTGCACAGCATACCAAGGCATGCTAATAACCCAGCCAAGCATACCAAGGCATGCTAATAACCCAGCCAATATAATGATATGCCAAATAACGTGCAACTGACTTAGACTGGGGAGGGCATTGCAGAGTAGTTGCATACAAAGTTCAAAGTTGTACAGATACCTGTGGCTTGTGCTCCTGCAGACCTCAGAGCCTACCATGTACACATTGTAGTATAGTTTGTATGCAACTGGTGTGCAATGCCCTCCCAAGTCTAGTTGCACGTTATTTGGCATATCATCTATATCTATTGTCGAGTGCAACGCCAAATCGTGTAACACCTGCATTCTTGTATGTTCTGATGCTTCCCGTGTTGTGCATCGCAGTTGGTGGGCATTATCGAGAGCGACATGTGCTCTTCATCGCCAATGGTATCTGAGTCGTTGTTCAAGCTCCTTGCCAGCATCACCCGGGCCAGCACCTGGGAAGCTGGAGTGCACGTCGCTCTGCTTGAGGCCAGGGTCGTTACGAAGCTCGCGGAGCACACGGACGCCAAGAATGTTGATACAGCCAAGCTGGTGGCTTGTGTTCTAGAAGGATTAGCAATGGTAAGCCGTGAACAAATGAACCAGTGATAGGCACTCCAACCGCCGTGTACAGTATCAAGATGGATATAAACTGTTGCAGTGATTGGTGTTTACGTACACATGTACATTTATACTTCACAAATCCGTTGATCCCCAAGCTGCAGAGACTGCTCAATGTCAGAGACAGAGCTTAGTACATAGCAGACTCAGCGGAGGACGTTCAGGTTGGTTGTAACTCTGAGTTTCATGCCGTTAGGCAATCATCAGACATCTGATACTCGGGTCTACCCAACAGTATGCTTATAAACACATAGGGTCACAAGCATATACAAATTTAGTGCTGCGATTGCCTAACGGCATGAAACTCAGAGTTACAACAAACCTGAACGTCCTCCACTGAGTCTGCTAGGTATACTTCACAAGTATATACAGACTGTGCCTCTATTAGTTCGTTAATGATAGCTTGCGTGCCATTCTACCGGTACGACCACGGGTGATGGGTAGGACCCAAGAACTTGCTCTGCAAAAGTGCTTTCGGTTGAGAATTTCAGTCCTGGAAGTGAAAGAAATTGGGATATATTGATGATTATATTCGGATAGTCTCCAGGGGCGTCGGACACGGTACGGTTAACGTTACTACGGTATTGACCGTACCACTATTTGCCCAATGTACCCTGTAAATCAATAAAATACACTGATCTGGGCTCTAAATTTCCAAGAATGTCGGCTCAACAACCCCTACCCCACGAGTAAATTTTACTTCCAATCATGAATGGCTGGCCGTACCACACTAAAATACCTTCCGACGCCCCTGGCCTCCCGTGGTGGATTGCGAAAAGCAGGTCAATACTTTCTGAGCGGGGCACGCATAATGTCTGTCTTGATTGGCTGTCTGGTGCTGAACGTGTGTGTGTGTGTGTGTGTGTGTGTGTGTGCCCTGATACCGTCAATCCTTTTCTGCACCTTGTCCTCACCCACTTACTGAGGTGTGGTGAGCCCATAAGTGGGATCATTTTCAAGTCCACCCCGAGTTTTGGGGATTTCAGGGGGTGTCGGCCGTTGGGCGGTTCAATAGCCAATTGAGTCATCTTTCCAAGATTCCTTTTGAGTCTCTCTCCCCTCTCCCGGGGAGACCCACGTGACCAGTTTTGGCAGTGAGCAACAAGTACAAGTAAGTACAGTGTGTGTGTGTGTGTGTGTGTGTGTGTGTGTGTGTGTGTGTGTGTGTGTGTGTGCGTGCGTGCGTGTGTGTGCATGTGTGTTGGTTGCATTCAGGCGGGAGCTGCACGACTTGAGTACAAACATGAAGTGCACAAGATGCTGGACTACATCTACAACCTGATGAACCAGCATTGCTGTGAATGGATGCGCGATTGCAAGCTGGCCGTGCTTTGCTGCAAGTGTATAGCGTATGTCATAACGGGCCATACACGCTATCAGGGCAGAGTGTGGGACGTCGTGGTTGAGAAGGCCGAAGTGGATCCCGGAGTGGATCCCGAATACAACAAGCTCGTTAGATTGCGCAAGAACATATCTCGAAGCAAACTGCCACTTGAGCTTCACCTTATCCTGAAGCGTGTGCTGGCATTTGCAGTTTCTCAGTGTATTGACCGGCCAGAGCCAGGAACAAACGACATTCCTATTGTGGATCTAATCGACGTGCTTGTCTGGTGCCTAAGAGCTTTGTACATGCTGGCATATGACAACCACGGCATACGAAGTGTTCTGTTAAAGGATAACGTGGTGCCGCTTGTCATGGAGGCACTTACTGTCGGCGGTGAAAGGCGACCGTCGGGCCAGGCAGAGCAACCGGAGCGATACTATCGCCTGGGTCCGGTCGCGTGCAACGGCATATTGTTACTGCAAGAGCTGGCCAAGCATGACACGGCACAGCTGCTGCACTGCATCCCGCTGGTTCGTGACAATAGCGTGCACCAGCTGGCCATCCAATACCTGAAAGACTACGGGGTGGAGAGTCAGTCGACGGAGCGACTCCTGCTGACGAAATGTGCACTGTCGCTGCTTGCCTGCACAGTGCGTGTGGGCGACAAGCCGGGTAGGAAAATCAGCCATGACTACCGCCGTGGTCTGCAGTGGCAGATCTTCACGAACACCATTGGAGATCTGATGAAGGTCATGGCGTTGTACGAGGATGACGATGACCAGCAGGTCACCGAGCTAGCGCTGGAGTACCTCTGTGTAGCACTGGAGTCGAGCAGTGGCGAGGCGATTGTCAAGGCGCTCCTCAACGAGCACGGGATGCTGTCAGTCGTCGTCCAACTTGCGCAGGTGCGCTTCGAGCGACCATACAGACACGTGCTGAGAAAGGCACTGATACTGATCGCGCTGCTGGCAAGAAACGGCGGTGAGCACTTCAAGAAGATCCTGATGCCGCAGCCATCGCAGCAGGTCCTGGCTAGCACAGCCATAGCGGCAGCGGCTGCATCGCCGGCTCCTGGAACGCCTCGTCGACGACGCCGGCTCGGCATCCTCCAGCGGCAAAAGCAGGCACCGGGAACTGAAAATGGCGTCCCGTCTTCTTGTGCTGGTGGTCGTGTGCACGATGACGTTGGCATCAGCCCTGTGGGAGAGTCGCTGGCACACATACTGGCCAAGTCGATCAGGGAAGCGAGCAGTCCCGATGACAGGGAGCTGTACGTACTGATCGAAGCCTACTGTGCGGTCAAGGAGGTGGCCAAACATGGCCATGCAATCAAGAAAGCCTTGTTCAAGTACGGAACGCATCAGACTCTGTTGGACGAGGTCTGCGGTATCAAGCATAGCGACACCGATGCAGTAAGTGTTGATAATAATAATAATAATATCTTTATTAGGATGACCCAGAGGCTTGTCGCCTATCAAGGGGTTCACCGCTTTGAAGGATGTACATGTACACGTATGAGCTAAAGTGAAAGTAGTGAAAAGTTGTGCAGCGGGAATGCGTTGGGGAGCACACGGGGGGACAACGTGTACAATGTAAAGCACTATAGGCACAGGAAGTGATGTAGGGCAGACATGTTCTTTCCCATTCAATCTCCAATTATAGCATCGAACTCGTTTCACTAATACGGTCAATTCTGACGTTTTGGCAAAATTGCTCTCGTCAGGTTTGCACACACCAAATAAGGAATGTGAAGTTAACCTTAGCTCCCTTGAATGCCTACAGCCCTGAATGAAATGCATTTGTGTGATTTGGTGATGCGCGCCGGAGTGGCATTTGTGCATATGGACAGTTGGCTGGCATGGTCACAAACTTATTATCGCTGTTGGCACCACAGCCACATGTGGTATACACTTGTCGACTCCTCCAGGGGGAGAATCCAGAGATCTCTACGGGGGTTTCAGCTAAACCAAAACTGAATAGGTGATACATGTACATGTGTATGGTTTCCAGCAGTACATTTCCAAGGGGGGGGGGGGGGGTCGCGGAACCCCGACCCCCCCCCCTCCCATGTACTGTATAGCAGGAAATTTTCGGACGGAAATATTTTCGGACAAAGCCGAATTTCGACCTTTCGTACGGATTTTATTTTCGTACAGTGCTGCATGCTAAATGCACGTGCTTGCATGCAGTACGCATGTATAGTGTACATAATTTCACATGAACAAATTTTAGTACGGAATTAATTTTAGTACAAAAGAGGCCGTGTACGAAATCGTACGAAAATAAATTCCGTCCGAAAATTTCCTGCTATACAGTATCTGAAGAGTTTTAAAAGATGCAAAACATTTTCTCATGGCTATAATTAGGAAAGAATCACCACAATGAACTGCAAGTATACATTCATCTTTTCTTCCATTCTCTTCCCCTCCCCCCTTTTGTTCCACCTGCGCGCACGCGCCCGCTCGCGCGCGTGTGTGTGTGTGTGTGTGTGTGTGTGTGTGTGTGTGTGCGTGCGTGTGTGCGTGTGTGTGTGTGTGTGCGCGCGCCATGCAGGGCTTAGTGAAGCACGCAACCAACGCCCTGAAGGTACTTGGCTCATCAGATTCGCGCAGGATTGTCGACGCCATGCTGCATGAGGCGATGGAGGAACGGCGTCAGGAAGTGTGTCGGAGAAATTCTTCCAGTTCGCTGTCCTCTCAGGAGCAAGATTATGATCCAGATCGTCACCCTCAGCACGTCTGCTGGATGGTCAAGGAGCTCTCCGCAGACACAAATCAGCAGGTCGATGGCAGGACGTTTCTGAGTCGAGCCGTTCTGGATGGAGACGGTGATCGTGCGATGGTTGGCGCCATCTTGACTGGAGACGTGGTGGCCAGTGATATCGAGCAAGTACTGCAGCAGGCTCTGCGTAAGGCAGAAGTTCCCGGAAAACGCTCCGCGACGCAGCCTATCATTTCACAGCTTCTGGCTTATCGGCAGAAGCACGCGTTTGACAAGACCACGGTCAACTTTAGAGGCTTGCTCAACTGCAACCCGCACAGCACATGGCTTGAGTCGATACTGGATTCGTCGTCGAATCTCATCCAGTTTGCGGACCGAAAGCGGGAGCTGGGAGCTGAGCTATTGAAAAAGCATTCGGAGATCACCCGTCCAGATATTACACAGCTCGAGGTGCGCGGCAGGACTGGCACAAGACCACCATGCCCACTGCAGCATGGCTATATGGCTGGTCATTTCGCAGTGCCGGAAGGCATCGAGGAGGAATCCGGCGCCAGTGACGCCTTCGACTCGGGGGCGTCGCGACCGGCCAGCCGTGCCTCAAATGCAGATACGTCCGATGCCTCAGGCGCACAGCCCTACGCTACGGCGGCGAATGCCGGCCGAAGATACAGCAGGCCTGCTCGCAGGGGAGGTGTGGTGCGTGACATGTCGGAGAGGTACCGGGACGCACATCGCTTTGATCCCAGCTGCAGTGCCAGGTCACCATTGCCCCCTGCCGACCCTCTCCCTCACAACTTTCTGTATCGCGACGAGAGCCTGTGTGGTGTGCTCAGCGGCGTTGATAAACTACCTGTTGCTGATACGGCATGGTACCAGCGCAAGCATGAGGCACGCACTCCCCGACAGTCACAGACCGACAGCATTGATCCGTCCACTCAGCCATCAGGCGTGACTGCCGTACAGATCCACGGCCCTGAAGGCGGTGCAGAGGCTGGTGTGGCACGCCCGCCACCGGCGACAAGCTCCGCCGAATCGTTGCCCGGTGTGGAGCGCAGCGCCGACAGGACACGCGGGCCACCTAGCGTTCGGAAGCAAGCAGGCCAGAGAGGCAGTCCCGGAACATCGTCGAAACCTGTGCGCGTTGACCTGTCGGACAATCACATCACAAGTTTGGAGAATATCCTCAGCCTGCACGACACCACTGCCACGGCACTCATACTGCAGAACAATGACCTAAAAGACCTGCCACGCAGACTCAAAGGCACCTTTCCTAAACTGAGGTTGCTCGACGCGTCCGGCAATTGCATGGAACAGATACCCTCGGCTCTTGTCCATCTAACCAGTCTGACGCATGCAGATCTCTCCTACTGTGGGATTTCCAGGGCGACCCCAATGTTTGATTGCTATTCCGTTCAGGCTTATGGCGACAATGAGATGTTCGAGTCTGATTTTGAGCAAGCCGCCACCATGCCACAGACTGCTGGGGCACCAGGAGCAACAGCAGCAGAATCAAGGCCTGGTTCGACCAGTTCATCTGCACTCTCTCCACTTCGTAGTCCGCAATCTATAAATTCTGATGACCAGCATCCAGAAAGATGCCGGCTCAAGGAGCTAGATCTTCGCGGAAACCACCTGTCAGCACTGCCGGTTGATTTCCACCAGGCGTTCAGGTCGTTGAAGAAGCTGTGCTTGCAGAAGTGCAAGTTTAGCAGCCTACCCAGTCGAGGACTGGGTGCCATGCCGTATTTGCAGGAGCTCGACCTCGGAAGCAACGAACTAGAAGCCCTGGATGACAGCATAAGCAATCTTGGAAGCCTAGAGAAACTCATCTTGAAGTCCAACAGAATCAGGTACGGAGGGTGACCAAATAATGCTTAGGATATTGCTCAACAACTGTCACTAATTGCCCCGTTCTCTATTGGGATAAACCGAGCCACTACTTTACAGGGAGGCTCGGTGACTCGTTGTGAACTCGTACAAGAAACAAAGTAAATTTCGCTTCGTGTTAAAACGGTGTGAAGCGTGAAAACAGGTTCAGTGACACCTGACTCATGAACAAGGTTGACTGACTTTCATTACACAACAGCAACAGAAACTGCAACAGAGAGACAACAACAGAAACACGGGAACACATGGACGGATTCTAGATCATACCTCTTGTTCTGGCATGGTGTTTCCTTGGGTGGGGGGGGGGGGGGCAGTCTGATCTCTGAGCTACTTACGAATCAAACGGCCTGGACTCGTGTAAACAAATCCAATCTACAAGCTGTTCACGAGACTCTAGCCCAGACCCGACTCATTGAATTGTTTGTATAAAACAAACGAGTCAGTGAACCTCTCTTATGGCTTAGGTCACCGACTGGTATACACTGATATTGCTTAGGCATGCAGCCCAGTGTGTCATGTTGGTGGCAGAGACTTGCCACATGTTTGAATGTATTGAGAATTTTTAAATAAGGTCAGTTTTCGTAAGGATGCAGCCCGCATAAAAACTCTCGTCAGTGAAGGCAGATATTGTACAATGGCTAATGGATAGCGGAAATCACTTTGGAAAAATCTGTAGGAGGCCAAATGTTGCTACTTTAATACCCTGGTTTATTACTGCACTCGGCTCCCTTTAAAACATATCTTCATACCCTACTGCTGTTCTAGGCACTAACCATATGTCCTGCTAGGCGTGTGCTCAATTGCTACTGGAAGGGCTTGAGTAACGTTACGCACACTTACTCAATGACGATTGTCCTTTCTTCTTCTTGTCTTGCAATACGGCTGTCCGCAGCCAACCCTGCACTAATTGTGGCTCATGTGAGGTGCGAGAAAGAACACACACTCACTCAATGACGATTGTCCGCTTCTTCTTCTCCTCCTTCTTCTTGCTGTCACTGTTAGTGTGTTACCGTCGTCTGACTGTGCGTCCAAACTACATCGGTTGGCACACATCGATCTCGGCCGCAATCGCCTCGGCACCAACACCGCAGGGACTTGGGACTTTGTGCGGCACCTGCCCCACGTGAAGACTATCCTTTTGAGCAGTAACGAACTGACAGGTACGATTCCAGCACCGGCCGACTGGGCAAGTAAAGTCGTGAGCAAATTGGCACTGGACAACAACCAGTTTGACGTCTGGGACCTCAGCAACGGTGCGCAGCACTGGACACAGTTGATCTGGGTGAGCTTGAAGAACAATCAGCTGTCGCACGTACCGAAGGAAATCGGAAGCCTGAGACATCTCCAGGAGCTCTTTCTCAGCGGCAACAACGGCATCCGAGAGCTTCCCAGCGATATGCAGTACCTGGACGACTTGCTCATTTTCCCCTGGGCCGATTTGCAGCTGGAGCCGCCATTGCCGACAGAGCGTACTGCAAAGTCCATGAAGCGATATCTTCGAGAGGCCAATACAGATGCCAGGACGTTTAGCAACGTTCGCTTGGTCATCAATGCCACGTCGGATCAGGTCAAGGGGCCGTTTCTGGAACACCTGGACACGCGTAAGAAGCCGAGGAAAGGCGAGCACAATGAACAGGAAGGTGACAGCATACATCAGGATGACATCTCTGCCAAGTCGCTGTCATCACGCTCCAAAGCCAGCCCACCAGTTCGCAAAGTGATCACTATCTGCGAGGAGGATGCAGGCGGAGAGGAAGTGACGATCGAGTGCTGGGACTTTCATTCCGACAGCAAGGTATTTGACCCAGTTTAAATTAATTTTTTTAACCGTATTCTAACACATGGTGAGGACATGCATATACAAGTCAGGAAGGAGAAAAAAGACTACAGTAAAACCTGGTGTAAGCGACCTCTGGGTTTAGCGACCACCTGCTCTTAACGACCGCTTTTCCATGCACGGACAGTTCTACACAGAAACCGTGGGACCTGGTTCTTGAGACCACCTGGCTTTAACGCACTCTCCACATACAGGCATGAACCCGGCTCAGAACACATTGTTTTCTGGTTGGCATATCAGGGATATTGGGCGGAGCAGCTGGCGTGCATGAGAAAGACAGGTCGGCCTGCTCTGCGCAGGAGCTGTGACCCGGTGCACACATAGTGTGTGTGAGAGAGAGACAGACAGGTCGGCCTGCTCTGCGCAGGAGCTGTGACCTGGAGCACACAGAGTGTGAACGAGAGACGGTCGGCCTGCCGTGGGCAGGAGCTGCGACCGGTAGTGATTGAAATGAGCCAGCTGCGGAGATAGACTGCCCTCACCCGATATAAGTATATTGACAAGAGTTGTACTGACACTGTTATTGAGGAAATTATGGTGACAGTGACGGAGAGATAGTGATCCCCAGTCGAATGGGGTTGGGAGGGAAGGGGAAATTGACACTGACGGACAAACCAGTGAACAGTCAAGTCGTCAGAAAGCAAAAGTGACAAAGGAGTCTCTCTTTTCTCCTTCTCTCTCTCTAAAGCAAGATTTGGAATGCATGCGTGGGAGAGTGGCGCGCGCTGCGCATGCGCATGTATAGCAATGACATCATAATCAGATGCATGATCATCAGACTAAGTATGAGTGGTAGATGTTCCACGTTCGTTAACAGGGCTTAGCGCACACGCTAAACCACCATTAACGACCGTTAACGCACTCTCCACATACAGGCATGCACCCGGCTCAGAACACATTGTTTTCTGGTTGGCACATCAGGGATATTGGCGGACAAACCAGTGAACAGTCAAGTCGTCGGAAAGCAAATGTGACAAAGGAGTCTCTCTTTTCTCTTGCTCTCTCTCTAAAGCAAGATTTGGAAAGCACGCGTGGGAGAGTGGCGCGCGCTGCGCATGCGCATGTATAGCAATGACATCATAATCAGATGCATGATCATCAGACTAAGTATGAGTGGTAGGTGTTTCACGTTCGTTAACAGGGCTTAGCGCACACGCTAAACCACCACTTTTGCTTGCACCGTGGGGTGGTCGCTTAAACCAGGTTTTACTGTCCGTTTCAACTCCGAGTTTCATGTTCTTCACTATCATCGTGGACAATGAAGCTCAGAGTTGCAACATAGCCCCCTTCTCTCTATGGACTACAGTCAACTTGGCTAATAACGACTGCGGATATAACGACAATTCGCGAATAACGACAGAATCTCCTTGCCCAGAGCAAAGTCCCATCTGACTGTATACATATAAAACAGAGAGGTTCCAGGCTGTTCAAGAGAGTGCTCAATGCCGAGAGGCAGAGCTGGTTCAAACAATAAGAGGACAGAGAAAGTGTTTTAACTCCGAGTTTCACGCACTAAGCGATCATCAGAAAACAGTAATGAGTCGGTCTTGGGTTGTGCATCCTCGAGTATGAACAGCCAGGGAGAGTGCTCAACCCTGGGAACAGGGGAGCGACCTGTAAAACAGAGAGGTTCCAGGCTGTCCAAGAAAAAAATGGTAACCGTGCAAGCACACAAGCACCTCTCTCTCAACAAGAGGAGTGAGCTTGTGTCAAAGTGTCGCCACGAGAGTAAGTACTACCTTCGGAACTTCAAACCATCCACAGCCATCACCTAATTAAGTAAGGGACAACCAGCTCCAGTGGTTGTCACCTTTCACCACTGCTGCATGTCATTCGCACTTTTAGATTTGCCCCATGATGCAGTCATTTATGCCTTGCACTGCCACCATTCACAACTTTTAGATTTGCGCCATGATGCAGCCATTTGCACTTTGCTTTGTGAGTATATAACCAGATTTACTCAGTTTACTGTTTTCTGATGATCGTTTAGTGCGTGAAACTCGGAGTTAAAACACGTTCTCTGTCCTCTTATTGTTTCACTGTATACATCTAATGAGACTTCTGGTATAACGACACTTCGCGAAAAAGAACACCTTTCTGATGCACCGCCGAGTGTCGTTGTACACAAAGTTGAGTGTACGTGGAAAGCTCTTCCCTCTATGGGTATTTGGCCTGCCGGCCTTGGGTAGTGGAGCAGGTTACATGTCGATTAGGCAGCGCATAGATCATGGGGCTGGGAAGTGATGACGTCAAGTGTCAAAATCTAATGACAAATAACTACTTCCAGATCCCCTCTGCCCAGCGAAGTGCAGGACGCGTTGGGTGCACGGGTCCCTCATGTCGTACGCAAGTGTGATTTTTGTCTGTGCCAGGCAGAACCGCCGGAAGCAGTTTTCAATTGGTCCGGGAGTACCACAGTCTTTCATACTTTGTGTATACAGGCGCGTGCGCCGGTGCCCTTCAAGGGGCGGGGGGTTCCGGGGACCTCCCCCGGGAAAATTTTCAAAAAATGAAGCAAAATCCTGCATTTTGAGCGAAAAAGGGGGGGGGGGGTTCCGGGCACCCAGGAACCCATACGGGGCATGCGCCTGGTATAATATGGCGGGGGACATAATTATGCCCCCCTCCACAGTAAACATACATTGGTAGCTACAAAGTTGGTCCGGCACTAACCTGTTCAACCGGACCGGTTCCACTGACGGGCCTGCCAGGAGTGGGTCCCTGACCGGGAGGGCCCAGTCTAGTCACTGCCAGTGGCTGTGTCACGGTGGCTGTGCTGTGAAAAACCAGCTAACGTGTATACAAGAACTGGATCCAAGTGAATCTGAAAGTGTGCATTGTCATGACCCGGGGTCTGGTGTGGCGTAGCACTTTCAAGCCCTATATGATTGTATGTACACGAGATCATAGTACAATTCCAATGCAATCCATACCCCCCCCCCCCCTCCCCCAACACACACACACACACACACGTATACACTCACCCCCCCCCCCAAATTACATACACCCTCTCTCTCTCTCTCTCTCTCTCTCTCTCTCTCTCCCTCTCTCTCTCTCTCTCTCTCTCTCTCTCTCTCTCTCTCTCTCTCTCTCTCTCTCTCTCTCACACACACACACACACATATACTTACATGGACATTACGGAAATCCTGTCCTAGTTAGCCATTATCGCTAACAGAAGGCGCTGCGTAACGTTCACTGTCTGCAGGATCACAAGGCACTTCAGGACGGATTCCTGGCCAGGCGCTCAGCATACCTGGCCATGTTTAATGCGTCTAAGCCTGACGACGTGCTGCGATTGCGACCGTGGCTGCAGACAGTGGCTGAGTCCAGTCCCGGATGTCCCGTTGTGCTTGTCGGTATTCCGGAGAAGTCAGCGCGAGCAGAGGGCACGCGAGTGCGCGAGAATGTCGAGCGGCTAAGACGAATTCTGCCCGACGGCCTCGTCCATGCTTACAACGTCGACACTATTCTCCAGGTAAGAGTCATAGACTTAGAACGAGTTGTGATGGCTAAAACTGCTGTGATTGTACCTTCAATTAGAGTTACAGACAGTGTTGGCCTTAACCTGGATGCTTTTTTAGCTCTTATCAGTGTTCAGTGCATGTGTACACTGAAGGTTTGCTGCTGAGTCGAAGGATGAGCAATCCCTATTCCGAGCTCACCCTGCCCGGGATAATAGTGTTACTAGTGTGGTGTTTGTTGAAGCAGGATGCAGCGAATGGGACTTTTTTGGTCTTTGACCACTTTGCCGGGTCTAGTCTACTCCCCTCCCACCGCTTTATGAGCTGCATCTGCGTCTTGATCCCAAGGGTGGTGGTGTTCCTACGGATGCTGAAAACTCGGCCTCCAGCTGAGCCTCACGCTAACCGTGAATTTGTTGTTTCGTTCTTTTCCCGTCTGTAAAATGGGCGCACCGTGTTGGTTATTTTACGGTGACAGAGACGCTTGCTTGGCAACCCGTGGGCAGACGTGCTTAAGACGGTCGTGGAGTCTCGTGCCGCCAGTGCTGCCCTGCATGCCAAGGTGCAGAGCTTCTGCCACGACCTGCGCGACGAGATCATGCTCGTGCGCCAGAGCAGATCCTGGCGCGACTGCATGGTGGTGGACACTAAGAGAGTGAGAGAGATTGCTGAGCGGGTGCGCAGAAAGACCAGTGGCCTGGAAGGAAGGGGACATTCTGACACGGAGCAACACGGCGTGACACAGCCTGTTGGGACTGCTGAAGAAGCAGATGAGCTGAGCAGGCAAGCTGAACGGGACAAAGAGCAAGCAGACAATGAGGTGAGTTAATCTATATCCGATGTTCTGCTTATCTGGTCTTGTGCACGTAGGATATGTTCGGTGCATAATGATGGATGTACACATCTACACTGCAAGTGCCTGTGTGCCTAAGTTGTGTGTGTGTGTGTGTGCGCGTGTGTATGTGTTTGTGTGTTATGTGTGCGTGCACGTGTGTATGTATGTGCGTGCGTGTGTGTGTGTGTGCGTGTGTATGTGTGTGTGTGTGTGTCCTTCATGGGTCCCGTGCAGCTACACATGGCGTTGCAATTCCTTGAGGAGGTGGGCATCGTCATGCACTTGCCGGACTCGCATCTGGGTCTTCACGCCTATTACTGCTTGCATCCGGCACGCTTGTGCAACTGGATTGCCGTGCACGCACTTGGCGAGATGTCCATGGGGTAAGACAGAAATATGCAGTCATGATCCCTGAGTAGCCGATAGCGGCAAGTGTAACACGAGCGACGTCCGAATGTGTGCCTTTACATCCGATAGACGTGTACCGCATATGATCTATCGTAAGCGCTGTGTTATGGCATGTATGTCATCTCTGGACGTGTTCCGTATGAGTACTACACTTGCTCTATCAGCATTATCAGTTTTCTGACTTTTGCTCAACGGCATGAAATCATTGGTAGCAACGAGGCTTGGTCATAAGAGCCTCTTAAACACAGTGAATTATATTTTCCCAAGTGTTCGACAAATTTTCAACTCAACAAGACTTGGTGCTCTATGATCGGTCGTTGACATGTAGATGTTAGAAAGTAAGTTGTATGATTCAAATTGACTTGTCAGCATTCCAGCGCCTTCCTATGGTACACCTCTGTTTTGCTGGATCTGGTTTATGGTGTGGGCACAGGAACTCTGAAGTTGACCGACAGCGGGCTGGGTACAGTCTGCAGACAATGGATTGCCTGGACGGAGACCACGGCGCCGCGTCACTGGTCCGTCAACTGATGCATTTGCTGGAGCAACTCTGTATGGCATTGCCGCTCAGAGGCATTCGTGCAGGAACAACCGACACCAGAGCCAGCAGCGGTGGTGTTGGCCAATCGCCGATGCTCTTTATCCCGTCAAACCTTCCCAGCCATGGCACTGACCGGAATCTTAAAGGCAACGGCAAAGTCGTGCGCTACTTGCTGCTCCCATCTATGTCGCATGCCCTCGTCACGCGGCTTCTCGCCCATCTGCTGCAGTTTGCACGCGTGTTTGACAAACTAGATGGCACCGTCGGTAATCCGAAGCTTTGGAAAACCGGCATCAGTGTCAAATGGCCACACAAGATTCTCTTCAAGGTGAAGTGCCGCTACACGTGTGTTGCTAGAAAAAAACCGTTTTTTCGACTACCGTATTTTTCCGGAGTATGAGCCACACTTTGAACACTCAAAATTCACCCAGAAAAGAGGGGTACGGCTTAAAATCCGATGATCAATTTAACAGTGGTAAATAGAATAGATGTCTGTATTTCATGGTCAAAAATGGGGGGGGGGGGGCTTATACTCCAGAAAGTACGGTAACTTAGCAACAGCTATATGTATCCACCTAGTATTCATACATTGTAGACAGCTCTGATCAATCTATTCATACGTTGTAGACAGCTCTGATCAATCTATTCATACGTTGTAGACAGCTCTGATCAATCTATTCATACATTGTAGACAGCTCTGATCAATCTATTCATACATCGTAGACAGCTCTGATCAAACTAGGATAACACCATGAAGTGCCTGTACGAGCATAGGGTGGTCTTTAACCACCGGCCCAGCACTGGGGAGAATGGTATGCGGCATTCACGCCCGTAAGCCTAAGACAGGTCGAGATTATCTACCACATTACTATATCGCAGTCCACCTACAGATGTGACAGTCTGTGCAGTTATGCAGATACGTAATCACTTTTTGTTCCACCGGATTTTCGTTTGCACTTTACAGTCCATTCATAAAAAGATGGACTTCTAGCTTTTGGCCAAAAATGGGTCAAACTTGAATTTTTTTCAGAATTTTTCTACAAACTCCTATGGAATGCTCTTCCAGTTATGTTTCTGAAGCCTATTACATCTACTCCAAAAAGCAAGCCCTAAAACAAGAATAGAATTTCGGCCAGGTTTTGCCCCAAAAGCACTGAATTGAGAAAAACCGTCAAAATCCAGGCCGTTTCACTCCGCCTGCAGCAGTGACATTCTGCGGTCCGAACTTCAGTCGAGGTATCTTTTTTAACCCTTTTTTCAAATTTCAAATCTCGGAGCACTGTACTGTGTACTTCGAAGTACGTGTATATGTACGATGAAATAACGAAAAATAGCCAGATACGGGAGCTCGACAGAGCCAGGGCCCATCTTTTTTATGAATGGACTGTAGCATACGTACATTTGGCGTAGAATACAAAACGGAGTTGTCATTGACTTGTGAAAGTGCTCAATCCACAAAGAAAACTTACGAAAAAAGAGCCCGCAGACTTGTCACGGTGCACTTGGCAGATGCAGAGGTTCTTGCTGTGCCGGTCCTGACTATTGTAGCTGTGTTGTGAATATGCCTCTACAATGTACAACTCAGGTCGAGTGCTGTCGTTACAGTGCCGAGAAGGATAATACCGACTGGCCCGATGTTGATGCAAGCGTCCGAGACTACAGACAGGACATGATACGAGTGGAGGTAGAGTACCGGAGCCCACTGCCTGGAGCGCCACCGCCAGCCGCATGCATGCCCTACCAGCACATGTTCTGCTACCTGATGGAGACCATACTAGCAATGCTCGACGAGTGGCGAATGCCACTGACTTACTGGCAGCTTGACAAGCCCGAGAGGCTTCAGTATGCCGTGTGTCCACAGTGCAGCGGCCATGGTCGTATCGCCTGGCCGCTTGATGTCATTACAGCACGTTCAGCGGAGAGTCCCTGGTGTTGCAGTCGCAAGCACCCCGAGGCGTGTTTCCTGCCCCGTGATCTGGCGCCAGAGCTGGATGAGTCCTGGCGTTGTGGTGTACAGGATCTGAGTGGCAGCAAGCGCCTGGTCCAGGTGAAACGGCTCGGCGGCGGGGGCTTCGGAGAAGTCTCCCGCGACAAGATGCGCGACGAAAACACGGGAGTGGATGTGATCGTTGCAACAAAGAAGTTCTTATCATGCCTGGTAAGATACCGTATTATACCGAATATAAGTCTTACACCTTTTTACACTTGTCTTCAGGCCCAACAAAGGGGCTGCCACTTACAATCGAGCATAATAATTACTTATGAAATGAATATATCGAAACGATACGGCATGGACCTGGAAATGGGGGGTGCCGAGAAGCGCCTATCTATCGCTGGGAAATCAAATCATGCTTGCCCCAATATTTTTTACAACGTGAGGGTGGCTAAATCAGAGTGGATCTGATATAGGCTTCACAAGCACCATTGATTACACCAGAGTTAATCCAGCCAATAGCTCTTTGGATAGCAGGCACTGTAAAAGCCATATATGTACAAAGTGCTGACTCTAACGAGTTAACGAGGAGAAATCTGTCGTTAAAATAGAAATCGTTATACAGAAATCGATACATATACTGCCCTATTGAGCGTTGAGAATGAGTGAGAACCGTTACCTTTGGTACACGTAAACTAGTCAATTTTGGGAAATCGTTATGTGCGCCTCGTTAGAATAATGGCTTTTACAGTATGTCACAGTATACTTAGAACAGAAAGTATGGACTCTGAAATCAACTTCCGTAAAAGTCCATAAATAAGTACCTGCCCGAAATAAATACCCCCCCCCCCCTCATTCTTGTGACTCTGTCTGTTGAAGTCAAGTCAAGCCCGATAAACATACCGCCCGAAATCAGTACCGGTATGGTGCGTGCATGCAGCACGTGGCATGTACATCTACATGAAAATGACTTCTCCACTAAACACAAGTCAGGTCCGAAAGTTAGTTCATGCCCGAAAGTCAGTACCCGCCCGAAAGTTAGTACGAGTGTGGCCACTAAATTCGAAAGCAAATACTTATTTACGGACTTTTACGGCAAGGTGGCAGGTCTGTACAACATTACACCTTCAGGCTGCCACGCCTGATGGCAATAGACCCAAGCCACTATCTGGCATACGTACATCCACCAACCGAACTAGCTGACATCCATACACCCCCCCCCCCCCCCCCCAGCCCTCCACTACCACCCCCACGCGCATTAAATTTACACACAACACACTGTGTGCAAATCAATGATCAAGTCTTATGGGCTTCAGCTCATTCTAAATGTTCTCAATTCCTGTGACAGGGGTCCAGCGCCGAGGAGAATCTCCGCGACGAGCTGAGAATCGTTGCCGAGCTCCGTCACCCCAGTATCGTAAGCGTGCACGGCTTCCACCAGTCAGACGCTGGTCAAAAGCTGGTTATGGAGATCGCTGAGCATGGTGCGCTGAATGACCTGCTCGCGAAGAAACGTGTGCACAGCTCCCTGCTGCAGGTGGACTTTGTCCACAAAGTGGCTCTGCAGGTAAGTTTGAAAGCACGGTGCACGGTCGGCTATAGCTATGCATGCGTACATGAATAATTGAATATACACGTATTTGTTTGTTTGAGTTGGAAGGCTGTTGGTTAGCGCTACGGAGATGTGTTGAAGCTAAGTGTCAGGACGTCGAAAGTCTCAGCACTCTGTCAGTTTTGTGCCTAGTTGTTGCACTTTCTGACTGTATATAGTATCCGGTTACAGAGATGGAGAGTTAACTCGTATCCATGTGTCCTTTTCCTTTCTACATTTATTATTGGCTCAACATCCGAGTTTCAAATTATTTGTTTGTTTTCATTTTACTTCAGGGGGGGGGGGGGGGGGGAGATCGTTAACTCCGACTCAAGTAATTACTAAAAAATTAGTAAAAATGTATTGTGTGTGTGTGTGTGTGTGTGTGTCTGTAGCTGTGCTGGAACTGCTCTATTTCGCCGCCACTATTTACCATTAGCCATGTCTCCCCCTCCTCCACCCTACACAGTGGGTCCATTGTTATTAGGCATCTGCCTGTTTTGGTTTCTCCACTATAAATATAAGAATACTACTGGCAGACTCCATACGCAAAGCCATCAAGAAGCTGTTCAGAGACTCCGGGTTGAGAATCACGATCAGCACAAACCAGAGAACGGTCAACTTCCTTGACGTTACCTTCAACCTCGCAAGTGGCCGCTACGAGCCGTACCGAAAACCGAACGACGCACCGAGATACATCAACACCGAGTCGAACCACCCGCCGACAATCATACAGAAATTGCCGACAATGATCAACAAGCGAGTGTCGAGCATTTCGTGCGACCAAGAGGCCATCAGCAATGCTGCACCGGCCTACAGGGAAGCACTATCAGCCAGCGGATGCCCGGCCGCACTAACATTCAACAACGGCGGCCAGGCAAAGAAGAGCCGAGAAAGAAAGAGAAACATAATTTGGTACAACCCGCCATTCAGCAAATCTGTGTCTACCAGTATCGGCCAGAGGTTCCTGACGCTGGTTCGAAAGCACTTCCCGGCATCGTCACCTCTTTGTAAAATTTTCAACAAAAATACGGTCAAGGTCAGCTGCTCGTGTATGCCCAACATGGCCTGCATAATCAGGGGGCACAACCAGAAAGTGCTAGCCCCGGCCGACGTGCGAAAACCAGCAGAGGAATGCAACTGCCGAGCTAAACCCTCTTGCCCTCTGGACGGCCAGTGTTTGCAGGAAAGGGTGGTCTATCAAGCGAACGTCACAGCCCGGAGCTCAGGTGACGAGAGGCGGTACTTCGGGCTTTGCGAGACACCGTTCAAGACGCGCTATAGCAACCACCTCACGACCATGAGATACGAAAAGTACCACAAAAGCACGCAGCTGTCGAAGCACCTGTGGGCACTGCAGGACCAGGGTGAAGAGTACGACATCAGATGGTCCATCGTCGACAGAGCAAAGACCTACAGCAACATCTCAAAAAGATGCGGCATGTGCTTAGCGGAGAAGGTCAAAATCATCCGCGCTGACGCAGCCACGCTCCTCAACAAAAAATCAGAATTAGTATCAAAATGTCGACACCAGAATAAGTTCTACCTCTCGCGCTGCGGCACTGGCGTCACTTAGTCACCTGCATGCCGCCGCCGGCACCTGCCTGCCGCCACCAGGCCCAGGCCAGGGCCTGCCTGCCTGCCCGCCGTCACTGTAACTAACGTGTTACTTGACTGTCACCCCTCCTTCTCTCCCTCCTTTTCTCACCTCCCATGTGATAACCGACACCATCCGCACCATGTCTCCCTAACTAACGTATCACTTGAAATGTCACACTAATGTCGCGCTTTTGCCACCTTTGCGCGCTATGCTTTTTCGTGCTTTTTCGCGCTTCACTCACTTTGCGCGCCCTATTTTAGCTACCTGCCTGGGTATAAATTTGGACCCAGATGATGTACAGGTTATCAGTTGTCTGAGGATTGCCTTAGCTTTGCTATGTGCATGAAACGCAGCGTTACAACAATGACCTAGCCGGCTGTCTCTATTCTCTTCTGCCTTTTGTAAGAATACTACTGTGTGTGTGTGTGTGTGTTTGTGTGTGTGTGTGTGTGTGTGTGTGTGTGTGTGTGTGTGTGTGTGTGTGTGTGTGTGTGTGTGTGTGTGTGCATGTGTGTGTGTGTGTGTGTGTGCGCGCGTACGTGCGTGTGTGTGTTTAACTGCTGTAACCGTGTCCCAGGTTGCCCTGGGTTTAGAATGCATGCACGGCAAGTGCATTGCCTTCAGGGACATGAAGCCCCACAACATTCTCATACGGTCGCTGGACATCTCCACCGAGCGCGTGGCTGTCCTCACCGACTTTGGCATCTCACAGTGGTGTGGCCCGGCTGGGCTCAGCAAGTTAACGGGCACAGCGGGCTACCGGCCACCGGAAATGATCTCCTCCGCCACAGGCACACTGCACTATGACGAGAAGGTGTGGGTGACGCGTGCACTATTCTAGTGTTGATGTAAAGTGTGTTGCTGGCAAGTTGTCATGATGCAGTGGAGTGTTGATATAATATATTATGGTATTGCTTGGTGTAGTTTGGTATTGATGTAACGTGTTGCTGGCTAGTTGTCGTGGCGGGCTCCCTGGAAGCTGCATGCGTGAACTGGCATTGGAGAGGTGGGTAGTGGGGTGTGTTATATAGTGAACACACAAGGTCAAACCTCTTCTACACACACACACACGAGGTCGAACCTCTTCTACACACACACACACGAGGTCGAACCTCTCGTTTACACTCAGCTCACAACGATAACCAGTTTGTGGAATAGTGATAATTAGAATGAATCAATTACGTGGAGCATGCGCCAATGCACGCCACGTGTCCTTCAAACCTAAATGTCGTACAAATCAGACCGTAGTATACCTTCTTTTTTTTTTTACGTATCTCCAGGCTGACATATTTTGTTTTGGACTGGTCCTGTGTGAGCTCGCAACGGGTGGCAAGCGTCCGTTCCTGCCCGGTGCTAATCACATCATGCGCGAGAAAGACATGCTGGAGGTCTACGGCGCGAGTCGTGAAACGCAGGCCGCTCGTCTGCACGAGGTCCTCTCCGACCTGCTGTACTGGCCTGCCATGTACAACCTCGTTAAGCAGGTACGTGTGTGTGTGTGTGTGTGTCTGTCTGTGTGTGCCTGTGTGCATGAACAGAACTCACGTTGGCCGCTAGCCTGGGGAGCGCGCTGCGTACCGTACTCAACCGACCTACCCCATGTCTGTCGGGCCCCTCGTATGAGGGGGCATGTGACCGTCTTACGGCAATGTTCAGGACAGGACAGGATATGTGTATGTGTGTGTATGTGCGCGCGCGCGCACCAGGCTGTGAGAGAGGGTGGCGGCTGCATACCGTACACCCATGCATGCAGTGCGCATAGCACATGCCTGTAAATCTAACTCTAGTGCACCATGAACTAAATACTAGTGGCTAATGCCACGGAAGCTATTAGTGTGTGTGTGGGGGGGGGGGGAGGGGGTCTGCCAATGACCCTGATTTAGCAGGTGCAGCTGCATAACTGAAGTAAGAGTACGCGGACACCGTACACCATCTTTTCGACAGTACAGTCAGACCTCGCTTAACCGCACAGATCCGTTTTCCACAAAAATATCCGGATAGGCGAGGGAACCGGATAACCGAACACTGGTTATGTTGGATGCACCATGGATGCTGTAAATCTGTAACCAGCTATTTTCTTCCGGATGGCGAGGGATCAGGATAAAAGAGGACCGGATAAGCGAGGTCTGACTGTATTGACACACCGCATGAAAAAGTTTGATTCTGGCCCAGCATCACATTGTATGGCGCATGCCCAAAGCCGACGGTGGGAGCGCTCTGGGCTGCAGCACAAGACCAGCTGCTGCATACTCTCCACCATCAGGCTACACAGCCGCTGGCATGAAGTCGTTGCAACCTCCAGACCTGGCTGCTGGGGTTTTGTCACACTCGTAAAATGTCGCCGTTGCACAAGGTCAATTATTATAAACACGTTCTCGTTGAAGTGTATCAGCGAGGCAGCCAAAATCTAATATGCCACAACTTGATGCCTTCATATTAGTATGATTGTACTCATGTGTGATTGCACAGTGCCTGCAAGAGTCGCCAGAACAGCGGCCGACTGCCGGCGAGCTAGTCCGTCTCTTGCAGCACGCCGACTTTGCCTGCATTCGCGGTAGAGCCACGCTGCCAAGGGATCACAAGTCTCCCCTGGTCGTACTTGGCATGGATGCGTTTGAGCAGCCAGTTTCCGGAGCCCCACAGGTTAGTACAAAGCTCACACTCCAGAGCACGATACTCTCATTTATTGACAGGCCAAAGCTTCAGTACATCACTCTGGATAATTATAAAAATGCTGCATTTTTCATTCCCATTCTCACTACACAATCATGGAGGGAACTCTCAGCCTGAGCTGGTTTTGCTCGCGGCTGCAATGCACGGGGTAGTGAACCCAGGACAGAAGCGGACCAGGCATCATGACTTTGCACATCTATAGTTATGCTGCTTCATTATGCGACCTGCTTTTGTTACTATTATTATTATTGTAGAAAGGAAAAAGACATTATGAATACGAGTTAAGTATCATGTTACAGTGATGGAGAGTTACTCTTAACTAGGCACAAAACTGACAGAGTACTGAGACATTCAACGTCCTGACACCTAGCTTCAACACATCTCCGTAGCGCTAACCGACAGCCTTCCAACTTGGAAGGTTCAAGGTTATGGAAAGACCAAAGAGGGGAAGGCAAGCGCAACGAAAACGACTGTAGCTTTTGCTCGTTTTCGTTGCGCTTGCCTTTCCCTCTTTGGTCTTTCCATAACCTTGAACCTTCCAATTGGAAGGCTGTCGGTTAGCGCTACGGAGATGTGTTGAAGCTAGGTGTCAGGACGTCGAATGTCTCAGTACTCTGTCAGTTTTGTGCCTAGTTATTGCACTTTCTGACTGTATAAAGTATCATGTTACAGTGATGGAGAGTTACTCTTAACTCGTATCCATAATGTCTTTTTCCTTTCTACATTTATTTATGGCTCAACATCCGAGTTTCAAATTATTATTATTATTATTATTATTATTTTCACTACACATTTGATGGGAAAGTTTTGAAGAGAGGAAGCCAAAAGCAGCAACCCCGTTCCAGGAACATACTTATGATCATAGAGAGAAGATCCATTAGCAGTGGACAGTGTTAGAAGAGAAGACAGAACAAATAACCTGCAAAAGAGAGCTGGCTGGGTTTCCCTAAATGCATGCCATGGCTACATACCATGATAATCATAAGGTTTAACTCGGTTTAACTAAGGTTTAACATGTTGTCCTCCTTTTTCACCATAATCATAAGGATGTGAATAATCAGCTTAGGACTATTACAGTGCAGTTGAGTCAGGACGGCTTCATGAAGTGATAGCGACTAGTGTAGCATAAAACGGCACATGAACACGCTTTAGTTGTCAACACAGCAAACGCCGGTAAAGCCGCATTCAGGAAAAGCGGAATGTGCTGAAAGTCGTGCATCTTGCAGTCTTGGATGACTTCGATGAAAGACTGACGGTTTCAAATTTCTACGGTGTATGAGGTTTACGTAAAATCGAGAGTTGGCATATTGAGAGTTGACCTGTACTCATTTATCTTTGTTCGTATTTCACTTGCCGCTGTGCTGTGCTGCCGCTGTGCTGCCCCATGCTTGGTATACTAATGCATGCAGGCGTGGGCGTGCGTGGGCAGAGAAGACGGCAGAGAAGACGGCAGCGACGTCCAGCTCTACTCGTTTGACCTGTCCAAGCCCGGCCTCGGGCGTGAGGTGCGCACGATGCGTGACCAAACGCCAGCGCTGAGCGGGCACATCGTCCTGGCGGAGATCGGTTCTCAGCACTTCATCATCACGGGCGCCCGCGGTGGCACAGTCTGCATCATTCGCAGTAAGGACCACAGCGTTCGCGTGCGGAAACTGGCAGCAAGCGCAACCATCACGTCCCTTCTCTACGTGTCGGCAAAACCACAACCAGCGGACAGCACGGCTGCGACTGTTGGGGTGCTCCTCGTCGGCTTGAGCAATGGAACATTGGCGCGCATTGACGGCAAGGACATCCTCTCCGCTTGGGGAACCGAGAGATTCGAATGTCCGTTCAAAACCATCCTGGTGCCGCTGGAGAGCCCCGAGGCTGCGCATCGCGATCGTCCGGTTTCGACCATGGTGAAACATGCTGGCAGTGGCACTGCGTGGCTAGTCTGCGATCACAGTGTGTTTGTGTATGACACAAGCACTGCACCACCGCTGTCGGAGTGTACACCAGTCAACATAAGGTAAGTACTGTTCTGAAGTGCAACTTCTGTTCTGACGGCATGCATTCGGGTGTGTACACACAACAGCAGTAGCATTGCTAGTTTTTCAATACGCAGTCAACTCAGCAGATGTGTGTGTGTGTGTGTGTGTACGTGTGTGTGTGTGTACGTGTGTGTGTGTGTACGTGTGTGTGTACATGTGTGTGTGTACGTGTGTGTGTGTGTACGTGTGCAACTGCGTACGGGTTGGCAAATGTGTGTATATGTGTTGCTGCGTGTACGCGTGTGTTTACACTATAACTCTAGTGGTGACTATCAGTACGACGGAGTGGCAGTCAGTGGCGAATACGTTTTCACGACTGTGATCGGCAAACCACTGATCCAGGCCTGGCTGTGCACAGACCCCTTGTCGGGCACTGTGAAGCACAGAGTAGAGTTCAGCGTATCACACCTGCTTGGCAAGCCACCACTACCTGGCAACTTTACACGGCAAGCAGCGACGGCATCGCCGGTCGATTACGGCTGCGTGTACCGCATCCTGGCCCAGGGGAGAACGCTGTGGGTGGCCGTGAGCGACTGTGCACCCAGTACGGCTGCCGGCAACTCCAACTCCGTCGTTGCTGTTGTCAACGTCGCCGACCTGGGCACGCCAGTGATCGAGGCTGTCACCCAGTGTCACAACAAGGCTGTGAGGTCAGTGGACAGCATAATTATAGTAATAACACTTCTTTTCATACAAAAGAAAAGGACCAAGGAACTACAAGTTACGCTATAGTGTCCACTAACACCACCAGTTACTAAACAATCAGCGGAACTTGTAGTTCCTTGGTCCTTTTTTCTTCTGTATAAATTAATCCTTGGCTCTCCATCGGAGTACACTTCTTTTCGTCGGTGATTATTTTGGATCGGGTGGAGTTGAAATTAGGTGGCAGGGCATAGCACTCCTAACCAGGAATACAGAGAAACTAACCCCCGCACTAGTAAGCAGTGAGCCCGTCGCCTCTTTAGCAATGTACATATGCCTGTTCTGTAATGCCAATCATGTGCCAGATCTGCAAGAACCCGGGCGAATGAAGCTCATTTCCTTTGCTGCAGTGCTACAGATTCGACTGCGGGGGAAAACGTGAAGTCCTCCAGATTGACCCATATTGGCTGAAGTGCTGAACTAAACTCCACCTATAAAGCAAATGGTTTTCTCCAAACCCGTCTTCGAAAGGTTTTGTGTACTCGTAGTTGAGTAGAGCTCTGGCGTGTTCTATTGTTTCATCGTCTACTGTATAGCTCCATGGTGCTCACTAATCTGCCAGTTCACCGAGTTCCCAAGGACAAGCAGCCACACAGATGCCAGGCACGCAATGAGGAGTACAGCAGCAGTGATCAAGAGCCAGGTGCTAGCAGCAACCAATCCGGAGGGCAACCTTCTGGCGAATCGTTAGCGCCGTGCATCGTCACGGCCGGACTCAGCCACAACCTTACAGAGCCGGCAACTAGCCAGGCAGTTGAAGCCGGGCATGCTCGTAAGTCTAGCCGTGAATGACTTAGAACAGGTCAGCACGGAAATAGTCTGATGGGCGCGGAGAACCTAAACTGCTCCCGGCCGATATTGATGACCTATGTTATGATTGTATACCTAATGACTGCACTATCAGTGTGATACTTGACGATTAAGAACAACGGCACTGAGGTCTTCTATACACTACTCTCTTGCAGTGGTAGTAAGCCCCCCCCCCCCTCAATGTGCGGAGCCCTGAGATGTTCACATAATGAGAGAAGACGTTCAATTAGAACCTATTGCCCAAGCAATTTGCAGACAAGTGACGAAATATAATCCGTATTCTAAGACCAATAGCGTTACTCCGTATCACTCAGAATTTAATATAAGAAGAGAACGGCTTGTCACCGGTTTGTCCATCAACTTGTTAGACAGGTGATAATAGAACCTGCTGCAAACCTGCTGCAAACCTACCGTACTATCCGGAGTATAAGCCGCACCCCCATTTCTTTTGCCACGAAATACAGACATCTACCCTATTTATCACCGTTAATTTGATCATCGGAGCGTAGGCCACATCCCTTTTTTGTTGGGTGAATTTTGAGTGTTCAACATGCGGCTTATACTCCGGAACAATACGGTACTAAACGTGTACGCATGCATGGGCTATGTTCAGTAATGAGCAGAAACAGCGAGGTGGACATTGAACGTAGCAATAGCAAAACGTATTGTTATAACGAGAGAGCTTGGAAGCTCAGGGCCCTGCGCTATGCTTTGTTGCCTAGCTCACCGTGCATGTTGTTAGAACTGATGGAAATGCTTTTTCCTTTTATTAGCTACATCATTGTATTGCAAAAACGTTTCAATGAGTTACTGAAGTAACGTCTTCTGCATAGCTATGGGACCGGCGCTGACTCTGCCGATCACGGGCGTTCTGGAGTCGACGGGATGTCGGTCCTGACGTTTCCTGGCCCCCGGCGCTGACTCTGCCGATCACGGGCGTTCTTCTTCTTCTTATTATCATACTGACGGCAACTAACATCCATTCTGATTGCATTTACTCGTCTCCCTATTTCGTATTTCTTTCCAGAAAATCTCACCATACAGCAGGGAGTCGTTTACATAATATGACTCCCTGCTATACATCTACACGACTGTATATACGTTATAATTTTTATGCTATCGGCCTACATACCATTCCCGGGCTGGTCGACAGGCGGCCCAACCAGCCTGCTAGTGGGATCTCGGCCTCGCACACAAATCCACACAAAATGTTACTGCACTGAATGCATTCCCCCGATACACTTCGCATATATACTCATTCTCTTGATGGTACCGTACTCTTGATGGTACGGGACAGGTACGGGATAGCGCCAGGCATGTCGATGGCACAAACAAATAAAAATATTGTGGCCAGCTGTCTTTCCTGGTACGGTACGGTACGGTACGGGAGAGATACGGGATAGCGCCAGGCGTGACACAAACACACAAACAAACAAACAAACAAACACCAAATTAAAGCTGTGTGGACCCTGGCTAGCGCCAGACGTTACTGAAGTAACGTCTTCTGCATAGCTACGGGAATAATGTTATTGTCTCCGCGCCGCCTATTTGCTATACAAGTATTCATTAGACAAAGTGTCTGAAGCCCTTGCTGCAAATAGTGCTCAATACCCTAACAAGGGCAGAGCGTACTGCACAAGGCAGAACAACGAATTCGTCTGATGAGTGTTTTTTAAAAACACGAAACTCGGAGTCACGAGAAAGCCTGTTGGTCTCTGTTGTTCTGCCTTGTGTACATGTATTCATTATATGCGTATATACTCTTGATTGATTGCAGGTACTGCAAGTACAGTGTACACGCGGGACATCGGTGGTGCAGTGCAACAGAGCCAGGTGCTCCTCTGGGACGGCAGCTTTGGCCGCGTCCAGAGGAGACTGGACCGCGATGCAGCGGCCAACCGCCAGGCCGCGCTGGCCCCAGCGTACACCCAGGCAAGCCAGGAGCACCTCCTCGGTTCACCGTTGTCCATCAGATAAACACCGACACTCAGCCGACTCTGTGATACGCACGACTGCATGCACGGTGCCGGTCTGGCAGCGAGAGATGGATAGCAAGAACTGCCTCGCACTGAGTGCCCCTGGACGTGAATTCGGAGCGCACCCGGCAATGCACTACTTCACAACGGCTACAGCTACAAGCCGTGCACAGCACACGGCATACGTGTACGTGTTTCAAGTTCTGAAGTACTACAATGTGCATCGGGTGGACGTGTGGGTAGACCGGAGTAGCCATGCTCTGCATACGAATGAACTCCTACTATACATTAAGACCTTGCCTTACGAAGCACCTGCTGAGTCCTTGAGTCTCCACTACCCCAATTCATTGAGAGATTTATTTTGTGTTTTGTCAGATGGTGAACTGAGCTGGTGACCTTTTTGAATCGCTTGAAGGCTCAGCACAGATCCACAGCTTGAACCGAAATTGCTTAGTGTTGCATGCATGCCTTGCGCATGACAGCGCTTTACCTTAGTGTAAATATGTGAAGCTGTTTGAAGCAGAAAGCCAGAAACGTGCTTGGCAAAGCCGTCATGAACGAAACTGGCGGCTTTCACCTTATTCTTGCAGGCACCTACCTGCCTGTTGATGCCAGAAGACATTGTACACCGAGTTTTCAAGCTGCAGCACCGGGATGAGAGAGAGAGAGAGAGAGAGAGAGAGAGAGAGAGAGAGAGAGAGAGAGAGAGAGACAGAGACAGAGATAAAGAGAGAGAGAGAGAGAGAGAGAGAGAGAGAGAGAGAGAGAGATAGAGAGAGAGAGAGAGAGAGAGAGAGAGAGAGAGAGAGAGAGAGAGAGAGAGAGAGAGAGAGAGAGAGAGAGAGAGAGAGAGAGAGAGAGGAGCACACAGAGGTCACAGTGCCCTAAAAGCACGCCATCCTCTGTGTTGCGGCCGGACAGCACCAGCCATTACCCGCGACTACTCATACTACCGTAGTGTAACTGTTGTTAGATCATACACTCGACATGCATGCACTAGTATTATTTTATGTTGTACGCATGTCATTGTACATATCAGAATAATTATTATGTTGGCAGTTGTCACTTTCCATTCCCTCCCTGCCCTTTCGGAGGTGTTCACTTGAGATCAATAATTATCCTTCTCTCACTCTGACATCTTCCCATCTTGTGTTTGTAACACTACGTGTACCGTGCCGTCCCATATCGGCACATGTAATATCAAGAGTATACATGTATAACTATAAGCTAATCAGTCGTCTTGGTGATATTTATTTTTATTTTATTCCAAGCAATACATGGCTGGGGTAGCCAATGACCACTTTGCATGGCGATTGCAGGGTTTTTAACTTTTTATAGCCAACCACGGCTATTGAGTTCCAAAAATCTGGTTCTACCTTCCGAGTTCAAGTTACATGTAGTTGTAAGGTCAAGGAACCTTTTCCATTTGTGGTAGTGAGCCGTGACTGTGTGGACAGAGGAAGAATTTATTCTTCACAGTACGCTGTTTCAACATCTTTTTATCACATTGTGATGACGCTTTATGATAAAAAGAAGTACGGTACAAATTCATTTACAGATACTCAAGAGTTCATAACCCCCAGGTTTATGAACTCTTGATACACTTCTTTTCAACATACCTCCGAGGCCAGAGCCATCAAATCTGTACTTCTTTATGCATAGATCTACATGTAGCCGATTTATCCAAGGTCAAGTACTGAAATAGCTGGTGGGTCGTCAAAAACTGTGCTTCCTAGCCTGGCTGTAGTGTAGACTGCTAGATCCAGGGTACTGCACTATCACTGGCAGTGGCACTCGCCACTGTCACTGGCCTGACTAACCAAGACGGCAAGAGTACATAATAAGAGTATTGTACCGTTGATCTAGTACTAGTGTTATGCATGACACTCTCACAAACACTTGAACTTTTTGTTGTTGAAGCAGGTACTGTAGTTTGCAGCCTTTCGGTTTCTGACGATCGAGGAACCGGAAGTAGTATGGGAGAGAATAAAAAAGTCCTCTTCCAGTGACGTGAGTAGTAAATTACCGGCATTTTACTACTTCCTGCTTTGTGAACTGCGTGACAGTCGGGCGAACCTCAATCTTCCACACTGACAACAGTGAGCCAGCGGGGGCTTTTTTTGTCAAGCCGCACATATTCGGTATCTGCGGTGACTGCTGTCCTGCTTGCTGTGCGAGGGCGAGCATTCAGATTCCTACTTCAGGTGGGTGTCGGTTGGGGTTGAAGTGACTTTTTCTGTTTTCATGAAACAAGGCTTTGGACGTTTCGTTGAAGAGTTCTTGGAAGTAATAGTTACCGCCGTTGTTTGCTAGGCTAGCCTGCTGGGCCTGCCAGCGATGGCTTCCTGTGGGCAGTTCGCAGGAATGCTTTCCAGAACCCTGGCCGTGAGTGGGCTGTGTGAAATCTGCGACGGTTTTTCTGGAGATGATGGAATTCTGTTATGTTGGTCGTATTGACTTGTAGGCTGGGCAGAACAATTTCACTCAACAAGCCCGACGATTTCTTTCCGTCCACGAGCATTTCAGCTGGGGATTATTGCGGGACAATGGAGTTCCTACTCCCCGAGGAGAGGTGGCCCGCTCTGCAGAAGAGGCGCATAAAATTGCCCAGGATCTCAGTACGTCGAACTCGATTTGAATCGTTTGGATGGGCGAAATTGTCAATCTGTAATTTTGCACCCCTATTTGTGTAATCATGCGTGAATGCACACTTCAGATTGCAAGGATATGGTGGTGAAGGCGCAAGTTCTTGCCGGTGGTCGAGGCCTTGGTCAGTTCGACAGTGGCCTAAAGGGTGGCGTCAAAATTGTCTATTCGTAAGTTGCAAACATGGTGAACATTTTTGTGTAGGGGGAGTTTCATGCAGATATCCAGCAAGTGTTGTGGCCCACTGATTTGTGCAGTTCAGGGCAACACGATACTTATACTCTCTTCTCGGCATGGTCAATTGGTGTCAGAGTAGCTTGTCAGCATCATCATTGATTTTAGTATTGTATACGGTATTCGTTGTTATGATTGCTTTGTGAACAATGAGACTTACGTAAATATCGCTCTAGACCGCTGTTACGGCACGATAAGACCGCACTATGCGGGTCTGTTCACACATTGTCGGTACACACAGGGGCCAAGAGCTAGTAGTTCCCCCAGCCTCGCCTGGTTGAAACAGCAGTCCTGGTATCGCATACTGCGGTTATCTTGTGAAGCCAGACCTAAAAGCTCTGTCACAAGGCATCCTATCAAGCCCACCATAAATCCAAATGCGCCAAATATTTCCCGGTGCACTGTTTATCGCCATGCATGGTATACACAGCGTGCCTGTAGGAATATACAGCCCGGATTGCGAGGACAGTTTTCCGACCTCGGCCTCTCACCTTGCACCCAAACAAACAGTTAGCAATATTGCCTTCGCACACACAATGCAATGTGCGGGCACCCGGAAACGACGAAGGAGTCGTGGCCGCATTCTCATTGTGTTTATCGAAAAATGAGAGGGGGTACCCCCTAACCTAATGAGGGGGGGGGGGGGGTCTGTTCATGATGGTCGTAGTATTAGGGTAGAAATCAACCATAGCAATTAGCTTGACAAGAAGCGTCAACAGGGAAAAAATAATATTATACTAGTAATTTAAAACGAAGGATATTAGTGGGGTGAGCTGTTGCTGTACTGATCTATGTAGCGAATGAGGTAAATGTGTGTGTGCTGTAGCTGCTATTTGTGTTTATCTGATTGTTGTCTGCAATGCCATGGCGTGGACTGACTCCTGTGCTTGTACAGGGCTGATGAGGCAAAGGACATGGCTGGCCAGATGATTGGACACACGCTAGTCACGAAACAGACCGGCGAGCGTGGTCGCATCTGCGAGAAGGTGTGTGTGCAGTGCAGTTCACATGGCATGTTTGCATCTGTCAGTCATGCTTGCTGACCTACCTGTGCACTGTCATATGTCAGGTGTGCGGTGCTGAACGTGCGGCGATTTCTAACACTTATTAGCAAGAGTATATAACCCCCCAAGAGTGTGCAACTCCTGATGCCCTTTCTATGGGGTACGCCGACGGCAAAAACTCACATCACGTGGTGCAGTGTCTCAGTTGTACGTTTCCAGCCCGTTTTTAGCGAGCAGCGGAGTAATAAAAAAAGCACTCTCTGGCAGAAGCTCACTGCTCGTATGCAAATCCCCAGCATGACCATGGCAGATATTCGGATTGCGCGCACGCTATCCTTCGTTTGTACGTAGTATGAACGTATCTGAGACACGTGATGTGAGTTTTCGCCGTCGGAGACCCCATATGCAGAGTTGCACGCTCTAGGGGGATTATATACTCTTGTTATTTGTACACTGCAGCAGCGACAAGCTTTGTTGTACAAATGAGATAGAGTGGGGCTTTTGCGACTCAAGTTCACACGCTTACACGATCATCAGGCAAACTCATTCCTGTGCCTGAATGCTGTTGCCTGATGATCGCGTAAGCGTGAAGTTTGAGTCTGTCAAAAATGACTCAATGCTTGTGGTTACTTACCTTAGGGGACGTTCGTTTTTGAATCTTGATCTACAGGTTTGGGTAGAAACTACTTCTTTCGGTAGATGTGTTTTTCTACTCAAAAGAGTAGATTCTACCTTTCTCTACCGGCTCTACCTGGTAGAAGTCGGTAGAACTTGATAGAGGTACGGGATTTCCAGAAAAATCAAGGAGTTGTACACAACTCCATGCAGAAGAGAAACATTTCACGTACGTATCGTGAAAAACTACTAAATCCGGTAGGACAGCGTTTGTGCGCTTACCTCTACCTTCTATCTCTATCGGTAGAATGACTCTACTCTACTCTACCAGGTAGCTAAAAACGAACGCAGTCTTAATCTTTGTTCTGACTGTGTTCTTCCCACCATACATGCAGGTCTTAGTTTGCGAGCGACTCTACTCGCGTAAAGAATTCTACTTTGCACTCGTCATGGACCGTGCGTTCATGGTAAGATATGGTGATTGTGGTACGTGTGTCTGTGTCTATGCCCGTGTGCCTGTGTGTCTGTGTGTGATGGGGGGGGGGGGGGATCAGGCAAGAAGGATGCAAATGCACCCACGCATAGCACCTTAGGTGGTTGAGCACCAGTATCAGAGTGATTTCGAGTTTGAGCTCTTTCTACGAACAGAACACCATTGCCTGCTGCTGATCGACTATTTAATACTAGTATTGGTCTCTCTCTCTCTCCCTCTCTCTCTCTCTCTCTCTCTCTCTCTCTCTCTCTCTCTCTCTCTCTCTCTCTCTCTCTCTCTCTCTCTCTCTCTCTCTCACTTCTACTATTTCAGGGCCCTGCAATTGTTGCCAGCTCAGAGGGTGGTATGGACATTGAAAAGGTGGCTGCCACCAACCCCGACGCTATCATCAAGGAGGGAGTCGATATCAAAGTTGGTACGTACGCCATCGTTGTCAGACAATGCCATCAATGCCGGGCTGCTTGCTGGACTGGGTAGATTCTATCCTGTAGCTCACGTATTTCGGTGTATTCATTAATTTCGATAATTTGGGCAGAGAAGCGAGGCACCTAAATAATGAGCACACCTAAAAGTCACTATTCCCATGCACTGTATGTGAAGGGAATAGTGGTCACCTAATTCTACATTACACCCAAAACCTGGCAGGTCCCTGACACCGACATTTAAATACACATAAAATTACATGTTTAAATATACGGTATTGCTCTTTGGTTTCCTGGTCTCATGAAGCATGGCCGGTGATTACTTGAGCATTTCATCTGCATGTGAAGTGAAACGTCAGTGTAACTTACTTTATGCTGACCTTTCATACAAACTTCCAGTCAACTGCCCCATCATGCAGGTGGTTTATATTGGGCATATAAACCTCATACCTCATACAAACCCCATATAGACCACCACCATACAAACTCCTTTTTAGAAACAGGAAGAAGTTGACTGTCAGTTTGTATGAAGGTCAGCATAAGTATAATACATCCCACTAGTAAGCTTGTACGTGAAATATAAACCATCATACAAACCTCGGCTTCGCCTCGGTTTGTATGTCGGTTTATATTTCGCGTACAAGCGTACTGTTGGGTTGTATTATATACATATCCTGAATACATCACATAAGTGCTATTTTTCGAGGACTCTATTCCGCGCTAGCATCTGGCTCCTCTCTGTAGAGGCACGCCACGGCTGGTGTCATCTGTAATCTGAAGAGCAAGAAGTCCCTTCTTTGGCATGGTTGTACGTACCATTACTATGAGTGTCCATGTAGCGGGGGTAGCCGCTAGTCAGGCTTTGGTCCGACAAGCTCATTTAGTCGACCAACTGCGGGGTTGCATACCGATGTAGACATGAAAGAGTGCGCAGGAGTTATCAACAGCATGCTGGATTGGTCGGCTTGTCTTCAGCCGAGTGCTTCTGCATGTCTGACTGAGCTCATCTCATTCATGATGCTGGCACTGTACTCACTGTACTTACTTGTCTTGCTCATGTAGGACTGACGGAAGAGCAGGCACGGCGAGTGGCCGGCAAGATTGGCTTCGACGAGGCCAGCGTAGACCAGGCCGTTCAGGTTATGATGCGCCTGTACGATCTCTTCTTAAAGCACGACGCGTCGCTGATCGAAATAAACCCGCTCTCCGAAGAGAGTTCTGGCAAAGGTATGTACTAGTAGTGTGCAAAGAGCTGGTGGAATGTGGTGTGCAGAAGCTTGTGTGTTTTCTTGACTTGTTGCTTCTCTGTAATCAGAAGACAGGCATGCCATCCTTCCTGGTGCTTTTCTGTGGAGTGGAGCATTAGCAATGACTCTTTAAGTTGATCAATGTGCACCGCTGTCCTTGTTCAATCCGCATGTGTTTGCGTGTGTGTGTGTGTGCGCGCGCGCGTGTGTGTGCGTGCGTGTTCCTATTTCCCTGTGAAGTTATCTGCATGGATGCAAAGATCAACTTTGACGATAACGCGCATTACAGGCAGAAGGAGGTGTTTGGATTCCGTGACTGGTCGCAGGAGGACGATAGAGAAGTACGGGCATCGAAAGCCGACCTGAACTACATCGGTCTTGATGGCAGTATTGGTTGTCTCGGTGAGTGATACCCTTGCCTTGCCTTGCATTGCATTGCTGTGTGACTAGTAGTACGTAGCTACTGATACACAATCTCCGAACAGCTACTAGTAGCTGTTTCGACCCTGCTAGATCTCATCAGCGGAGCTCAGAGTGACGGGCCGAACTGGTTACAATGAATTTGACTGAACAACAAAGCCGTCTTTTTTAAGAACTGCGAGAAAGACAGCGAACTTTGTACAGTCAGACCTCGCTTATCCGGTCCTCGTTTATCCGGATCCCTCGCCATCCGGAAGAAAATTGTTGGTCACCGATTTACAGCAATGCTATGCCCACACACAGTGTGTGTGTTCGATTATCCGGTTCCCTCGCCTATCCGGATATTTTCGTGGAAAACGGATGTGTGCGGTTAAGCGAGGTCTGACTGTAGCTGCTGATTTGTGTACTGTAAAACAGGTTGGTAGAAATACCAGGCACCTAAATGGCACAAGTGCATGTGCTGTATGTGAAGGGAACGTTGGTCACCTAATCCTAAGTTACACCTGAAACCCATCAGGTCTCTGACACCGAAATTTTAAAACGCCTATAATTACCTGTTTTGCAGTATTATTCAACGTATGCAAAGCACCACTATAGTGGGTAAAACTGTAGTAAAACATAATGAATTCTCAAGCATAGCACACTGCACAGCACGGGCACCACTGTGAAGTACTGCCAAGAGTGAGTGCTTAACCAAGAGCGACTCCTATCTCGAGCTGCGATTGCCTCACCCGTGGTGGGATTTTTATTGCACCTTTGGTGGTGTGGCGACGCCAGTGCATTCCCTTTTCTTGCTCCTGTGTGGCCTATTTGACGTCACTTGTTGATTTGCTCCTACTGGGGACTCCAGTGCGGATAGTGCATCATACACCATGCTCACTGTCCTAGCTGATAAGGCTGCATGGAATGTAGCATTCCGCTTGTTGTGTATGCACCTGTATGGCTCTGTTGCTTGCTACCTTCCACGCACCGGAACTGGTAGCACTGATGTTATTTGTACTTGTATGTCCAGTGTAGTTTTGAACATTCGTTTACGGTAGTGTTTCGTGCATTGTGGCATGAGTGTGTGACTGTGCCTGTGCCTGGGGTGTGTCTGTGTATGCATGTGCCCCCCCCCCTCTCTCTCTGCAGTAAACGGTGCCGGTCTCGCCATGGCAACCATGGATATCATCAAGCTGCACGGCGGTGCTCCCGCTAACTTTCTCGACGTGGGCGGTGGAGCAACGGCACAGCAGGTCACGGAAGCATTCAAGATCATCAGCGAGGATCCAAAGGTGGGTAGTGGACAGGGGAAATGGCAAAGACCAGTCCCAGCTTTGGGCACTGTGCGTTTCTGAGTGACAGAATGTCGAGGAGTAATACTGTCGTACCAGACTACTGGGGTGCAGAATAGCCGGTTGCATAGAACACTGAGGTTACGTTTGGTTGGTCACATTCCCAAATGGGAATCACTCCGAATCATTCTCGCCCGTTTGGTTGGTCAAAAAAGTGCGTAATAGTGAGTGAGAACAAGCAGTCCCTTTATCTACTTGTGTGTGTGTGTGTGTGTGTTGTTGTCTTTCAGCAAGAATCTTTTTTGATGAGTGCTCTGATGCTGTGTGGTGACTATTCTGTTTGCCCATGATTCAGGTCACTGCGGTGTTGGTGAACATCTTTGGCGGTATCATGCGCTGCGACATCATCGCCAAGGGAATCATTCAAGCGGCGACATCACTGCAGCTCAACATCCCACTAGTCGTGCGGTTGCAGGGAACGCGAGTAGAGGACGCCAAGGCGCTCATTGCACACAGTGGCCTGCGAATCCTACCCGTAGATGACTTGGACGAGGCAGCAAAAATGGTAAGCAAAGCCTTGGGCTGCTACTTGTTGTACAATTTAGTGTGTGCGTGTGTGTGTGTGTGTGTGTGTGTGTGTGCGTGTGTGTGTTTGCCTGTTTGCAACATTGCCATGCCATATTGCGCTAGATCTGGTGTGGTCGCTAGTAGTAGTAGAGTCGATACAGAATTTCTTCGTGTGGTGTGTTTAGTGTTGTGTTGTGAGTGTGAGGTCTAGGACTGTTGAGTTTTGGTGCGCCTGCGCTGTGGGATTTGGTTTCCTTTGCGCCGTAGGCACAGAGTGATGGACCAGTGTAGTTTCATGTCATACTCTTATAGTCTTAGAAGTGCCCAGATACCACATTTTCGGCACTACTAGCCGAGGCGCTTACTGTAAAAGCAGAAATTTTCGGTAGTGTTTTATTTTCGGTAACTTCGGTGCCGACAATTTTTACCGAAAATAAAACGCACCGATACTGTATACCTGTATACCTGTAGTACTAGTGCACTTACCTGGAAAACGGGTTTTACCGAAAATTTCCCTCCGCCGAACCGCCGATTTTGGAGAATACCGAAAATATTACACCAGCGAAAATTTCTGCTTTCACAGTAGTAGTTTGAGAGCCCTAAAATTTCACCCGATTTGAAAAAAAATCCACACAAAAGCCCAGAAATCATGTAGCGCTTATTTCAGACAGGCTATTAAACTTCTGAAAATGCGGCAATGGGGCCTGCCTACTGCACCTGTACTTGAGTCTTCAACGCGTGTGTCTTCTTTTCCTCTCTCCTGTTTTTTGTAGGTGGTGCGACTTAGTAATATTGTTTCGCTGGCGAAGGAATCATCAGTCGATGTCTCGTTCTCCTTTCCAATTTAGTTGATGTAGTCGACTTTGTTTGTAGATTTTCAGACCTTATACTTTGTTCAAGTCCATTGGCTATGTTGTCTCTCATGTTTGAATCAATTTGAATACTCGACTCTGTCTGTGCACCTAAATATTAATTAATGAATCCTTCACATGTGTTTGTCGATCCCCAGAATATACCCTCGTGCCACGATCAAGATTTCTGACTGTTGTGTTGTGTCAGGGGGGGGGGGGGGGGGGGCTGGGCTGTTCCCGATTGTCAGATTGATGAATTTGCCCTCCTTTGTTCCGTGCACATGCATGCCTTACCCACTGGGTAGATCTACAAGGAAGCGCTACAAAGTACTGGTACATGTACAATACAGCACTAGTGTTTTCATAAATTGGGCTGGTTCACGATGAGAAACTTTTGCGATTCTATCTCTTCAGCCGGGTCTTGTACTGTCTACAATCAATGTACGGAGAGGTTTGCGGCCATTTATACTACAGTCAACTTCGCTTATAACGACACTCGACGGGGAATCAAAAAAGTGTCCTTATTCGCGAAGTGTCGTTATACCCGAAGTCTCATTATAATTATGTATTACAGTATACAGTTGGAAGGGACTTTGCTCTGGGCATGGAAATGCTGTCGTTATTCGCGAATTGTCGTTATATCCGCAGTCGTTATTAGCGAAGTTGACTGTATTCGCGAATGTGTGATGGTCGCGAATAGCGAAATAATTGAATCTCTAGCGAAAGTTTCTCACTTTACAGTATCCGGTTGGTCCTGACTTGCTCTCAGTGACTCTAGGCTAGCCGTAACGACGTTATCTTGGGCTCTCCAGCTCCCTCTTTCATACTATCAGATCATAGGTTCATGTACCATTATTATGGTAGGTCTACATTGTAGCAAGTGTCCTGTATAGAAGCAAGAGGGCTTATACAGTATACTCAAGAGTATTATAACCCCCCGGCCCGGGCCGCGGGGTTATTATACTCTTGAGTATACTCTTGATAGAATTATGGCATTTCTCAAGAGTGCATAAACTGTTTATGGACTCTACATTTCTGCTAAGCTATTTTGACAAAAAATTGAATTATTTGTTCTTTCAATCATGACGTCAGGCAAGACATTAGAAAATCATGAAAGACTTTTTTTCAAAGTCAAAACTTCTGTTCTTGGAAAACTGTTTCATTCGAAATAATTGAAAGTTGCTTGAGGAAGCATTCTTGTCCCCTTATCTTTGACGATTCTGGTCCTCAACATGAAGCCCAATATTTGTTTGTCGGTGCGTGCCTACGCAAAGATGATCCTGCACGCCAGCAAGTTTTCGCAGCGTGCTGTGTGCGGAGTTCTTCTGGGTGCGGAAGAAAACGGTCGAGTGTACGTGGAGGACGCTATACCTCTGTTTCATCAGGGTTTGGGCCTCTCACCGATGATGAATGCAGCTCTTATGCAGGTAGGAGTTATTTTCGTGTGGTAATTGCCGGGTAGAAGTCATTGTCGGGTATGGAAATGCTGTCCTCCAAATGAGACATGGAAAATCCTCCAATGAGATATGGAAAATCGCACTATTGCATGACATTGTACAGTCATGTACATGTACATCATTACTAAGACGTTTAATTTCATTTTGGAACGTGCATTTATAGAGATGATTTGACATCAAAATCTCTCCGCCCACGCTGCACCATTCACCGTCTTTTTGCTACAAACAAACATCTCTGAGTGGTAGCTGAACAGTCTTGCATTTGGGAGTCCCCCGCACACGCACTGGGCTGAATGGTCATCAGTTACTGACGTCATTTGCAATGTTAGCGTTGCCCAAATATGTAGTGTTAGCACCCATGGCCGCCTCGATGGCTGCCTCGATGGCTGCCTCGATCATGGCCTTGTGGACTCCAGTAGAATGCGGAGCAATCACCGCATGATTGTCTAGTGCTATAAATTATTGTTTCCCCTCAGAATATATCTCCACGGGCAGTCTGCATCGACTTGCCATGTGCATGAACGAATTCCGGAAGGAGTCGCGTTCCAAACCATAGCTTATCGTGAGAAGCGCATACACGTACATGTACTGTAGCGGACATTGACATCCGTGGAGAAGTCAAGCGGCCACGGGGCGCTGGCCTTGCGTTCGCAAGCACTGCTGGTCCATTTTCACAGTATGTACGTGAACTACAGTGCATGTACACGCTAAAAGCAGTAAGGGCGCCAGTCCCGGTCATCCATCGGATTTCAATGTCCACGGCAGTAGATCATCCAGGGCGGAATCCGGCTTGACGCTCCTCTCTCACATTGAACATGTAGGTTGATGCACAGGCAGTTGCTCGCCTGGTGATGATGCTGATGAGCGCCTTACAAACTACCCGCAGTGTCATGACAAGGCGGTGGTAGCTCTTCGGAATTCCGACGTGTTCACCTTTTTTATGTACATTAGGATGACCTGACCACTCCCCACGTCATCCGGGCTGTTAGGTATTGGTGAGGTTGAAGAACGTAATGACACAATGCCATAGTGGCAGAGTACATGTACATGTCCCCGTTTGAAGCATGGCATCACTGACACCATTTCCAACACAGCTTACAGACACGGTGGCTTTCTGTCTCCTGATAGATTTGGAAGTTTCAGCAATGTTGAATTACGAATAGCTCAGCTGGATTATCAACACAGAGTGATTGCAGGTAGTCGTTGAGCTGTTCACGGTGAAAGATAGCCGAGTAGTATTCACTGAGCCATTTAGGTAGCGGTTTCTTGTCAAGCTTTTGTGTTCAATCTTGCTCTTCAATTGAGCGTTCTATTTATTGCCGGATTTGGGTTGTCTTTTTGCTTTGGTTCTTGCTTTATGGTTTGACGCGATTGGCTTTGTGAATATACCCGTTCTCAAGTATTCACTGAACTCACATGAACCTAGCTGCCACTGAAGTGGCTGAACCATTAGTCACAATCTCACTCTCGTCACTCGATAACTTTACTGGAGGCGGTTTGCTGCCAAATCTCAGTGTGTGTAGACTGTGAAGGACCGGGTATCTGGTTTTAGAGCATGATGGACACATGTACTAGTATGAGTGAAATTTGAAGTTCAGGTTGCCAGTTTGTTGGCTAGGATTCATTCGTTCAGCCCTGTTTAGACATGAAACTGTTGGAATGCTTCAATCCAAAACCTGTTTTAGCGAGTACATGCACGAAGAACCTGTGACACATAGGCACGGAGCGCAGATGAAAAGTGCTACTCAAAAATAAGTTTTTTTCTGCTTTGAGTTTGTGGCAAATTTCTCTACTAAAGCTTTTCCTCTCTCTCTCTCTCTCTCTCTCTCTCTCTCTCTCTCTCTCTCTCTCTCTCTCTCTCTCTCTCTCTCTCTCTCTCTCTCTCTCTCTCTCTCTCTCTCTCTCTCTATCTCTCTCTCTCTATCTCTCTCTCTCTCTCTCTCTCTCTCTCTCTCTCTCTCTCTCTCTCTCTCTCTCTCTCTCTCTCTCTCTCTCTCTCTCTCTCTCTCTCTCTCTCTCTCTGTGTCAGGTGGATGACTACTGTCACAACAATGAGCTACAGATTGTGGCATACTACCAAGCCAATGAGCTACTGTCCAACACACTGTAAGTGAGAGATTGCGAACACATTTTGCATTTAGCATCCGCTGGAGTGGCAGTTCCGTGTTCCGCAGTTGCAATGGCCATGCTTTTTTTCATTCCTAGGGCACCGCTTCACCAGTGCCGCCGCTCCCCAGTGCATGTGTGATCGGGCTCTTAAGTGGCATGCCTGCTGGAATGCTGCTACGTTTGTTATACAGTTGCGCTCGGTGAAATCCGGCCCGAAGTGCATAACTGGCGCCCAGTACTGATGCGGCCCTTGATGCCCTCTAAGTAGTTGTACAAGTGCTAGTGTGCACGTGTGCCGTATGAACTGTGCATGTGCTGTACTCATCATACGCATGCATGTTCACACCAAAGTGTAAAAAAACCGCGCCAAACAAAGACAAGTGTAACTTTCATTTCAGCTCAGCACAAGTAAAGAAGACGGAGATCGTTTCGAAGCAGTTTATTTCATACCCAGAGCAGCAGGGCTTCAATATTTTTGAGTGGCCACCGTCTGCTTCGATTAGGGTGTAGTGGAACCAACGTTCGACCAGCCAGCACTACCGCAACACTTCGGATTAGGGAATGAGTTATATTTACAAGAGAGTTGGGAGAGACATAGAAGTTATTAGAACCAGACTGAAGCACACTGAACTAAAGATCGACTGAACTAGAGAAAGACGGGCATGCAATCTGAGAAAGAAGTGCAGCTACACAACTGACAAAAACTAAGAAAACTGAAAGGCGGCAAAAACAATGGAAGGTACGCATCACTGCAGATCGCGGACCAGTCGTGCCTTTCCGGCGACATGACATATATGCAGCGCAGCTAAGCACGTGGCCAGACACATGCACGGCATGAGAGGTGTACACATAAAGCGGAGGCGCGCGCATGGGTGAGCGTGTACACATAAACCGGAGGCGCGCGCGCGTATGGGTGAGCGTGTACACAGCATGCATAGCAACATACATTGTGAAACAAGAGTCATAAGGCACCTAACATAGCAGTTCATAACAAGGGTTTCAACACGACGTGGCGTTGACTCCACGTATGGGGAAACCGTGTCAGGAGCCAACGAGTCCCACTCCAGGTGCAGTGCCTGCACCAGCTGGTCAGCATTCTCGCAGCGATGTCCTTCTTCTCTATCTCTTCTTGATCTTGAGCTGTACTTCGTGAAGTGAATGAAAGAAATTTTGAACTGTTTTTAGCATGCAACACGTTCACTCCGAACTTTTACACGAGGTGCGTACAGTTGAGTTCATACACACAAATCGCCAGTGATGTAATGGGAGCTGGCTTCGCGGCGCCGGCTTTGCACTTTGGGCCGGATTTCACCGAGCGCAACTGTACATGGGTTGAAATTTGATAATTATGCTGGCACCTGAGTTCCTTTCTACTGTTCATACCCTCTGTGTTAGTGTGCGGGCCTCGACTATAGATCCGTGACAAAGTCTCTTTGTTCCGCACTGATGCAGTAGATGTTTTGGAAGTGAACGTCTCGCACGAGGCACCGATCGTGTGCGTTTTCTCCGTATTGCAGGGGCTTGCCCTTGCTGCTATGTGTCACCTCGATGGGTTGTGTTTGAATGTGCTTGTGCAGGCCCGACACAGTGGCATGCCGAGTGTCTGATGAGATCCAAGAGAAGTTCCCACATGCTGCTTTGCTCATGGTATGTAGTAAATACCAGTGAACCTGAAAGTGCTAAATTGCTGAAAGTAAGGGTGTGTTTGGTTGGTACGATCTAGAACAGGATCGAACAGCTGGTGCACATGGAGCACCCTCATGCCAACCAAACAGTACTCCAGAAACAGAGCACATTTTTGTGAAAAAGTGTGCCAAACTTGGTGCATTCTTCAAAAGGTGTACGGGTCACCATGGTCACTTTGTACAGTACAACGAGTTCAACCCAAAAGCATAATATGTACGTGATCATTTGGGACCAAAACCGCTGTTCCCGCCTGGTTTCACTGTGAAAAAGTGAAACTGCTTGGTCTGCTCCGGCCTCGAGGCCGGAGCAAACAGATCATGTTCTGGCCTACCCATAACAAGTGCAGTCCCAACCAAACACGCTGTTCTGGTGAATCCTTTTCTAGGTTGTACCAACCAAACGCGCCCTAAGTACTTGTGAAAATTCCCACGATTCAAATTGGCCTCAAGCAAAGGTCTCTGGTTTGATTCCTGGTGGTGGCAGTCAATTTTTTCTTCAGGCTTTCCCTTTTCCGTTCCCTCGACCTTTGAATATTCAAATTTCTTTTGGTAATTTCCTCAAGTACTGCAAGGTACTAAGTAAGTCTTCGTTTTGTTTATGTACAACGCTGTGCAGTGAAACTCTTCGTCAAGCATGGATAACTGCACCTCGAGCATAATAGGGAGGTTAAGATGCACGTTATTTCTGACGTGACGCGAAAGTTCAGCTCGCGTTATTTGGCTCACGTGTCGAAAAACAACGCGAGTGACCCGCAGCTCACGTCGAAGTTTGGAGTTTTACGCCAAATTTGACGTGAAATTGTGCATCACGTCGGAAATAACATGCATCTTAACCTCTCTACTGGCCCTTGGCACCCTGGGCTAGCGAAAATGTGTTCCATGCACGCACCCTTGTATATGTGCCTCCTTGTCCGACGACTTTGAGATCTTTTTCTCGAGCAAGTCACGATTTCATCATGGCCACGGGCGTCTCCATCGCGATCCGCCTTTTCGCCTGTGGTAAAAAACTGCTGTTCGTCTGATCGGACATCAAGCATTCACTGAGCATTGCACCATTCAATGACAAAGTGGGCAAAATAACGGTAAAAATGGGATTCAGTCACGGCTGTTTCGAGTGCGACATGAGGCAAAATGGTGTCGATTTTTTGGCACTGCACGCACTGTTTGCATGCTCGTACTGTACGTCAGAATCCCATGGTAACGTGTACGTGCGGAGTCTCGTGGCCAAGCGATTGTACTTTCTGAACAGGATTTTTTTCGAAATTCATCGAGTGAAAAGATGAAGTTTGAAGCAATTGTTTTATTCTCTCATGATAATAGTCAGCCCTGTTCGGTGCACCTTTGTTGTCTGGCCTCGCGCCTCGTTTTGCCGGCCAGCTGTGAACAGTTTGTGAGATCGAACTGATGCAAAATCAATGAGAGACACGGCGAAATTGCCAAACTGTGAATCTGATTTGAATAAAATAATAACATAATCACGGTACTTCAACTCGAACTTTCCAAATACGGTCTCTTCGCCGCATACGTCACTTCAAAATAAATAAATAAATGAACTCACCAAATTTTCGGGCATGGCCCATCCTCTGGGTGAAAAGCGAAAATAATAACGATAGAGAAATGATAATGGATACATTACCTGTAGCTTTCCTCTGAGACAAAAATGCGATAATACTCATAAAAAGTGTGTCCTGAAGTGTGTCCTTTTATGAGTATTACCTGTAGCTGTTCTCCTTTGCTGACGATAGCAGGTGCTCCAGTTCGTTGTTAGTTTTCTGCTCTTTATTTACGAGCAAGCTGGAGGCAGTTCGTTTACTTGAACTGACGCCAACTCACCCACCAACCACCCGCGATCAACGCACTACACTGAAAATTGAACTGAGCAAACAAAGCACTTCAGGACTGTTCCTTTCTACTTCGTTTGCGAGGAGCTGGGACCAGAGGTCGTAAACTAGGGAGAGCTGCGATACGGTGCTGCTGGACTGTGACTTGAAGCCGTTGTAGAGGATCTACAATGCCACCTTGACGGGCAAGAAGGGTATTGAATTTCTTTGTTAATAAATTCTGCCCCATGCTCAGCAAGCAACCCAAGACCAACTTCGAATTTCCGCATGAAGGAAACAACATGACACTCCAAAGGGTGCAGCTTTGGAGTAACCTGGCCAAGGCCACGAGGAACAATCTCCCTCCGAACTGAAGCCAGGAAGGTGTCAATATCGCTCTGTAGCTGGTCGCGAACTTCCGTTGACACTGCAGAAGTTCCGGAAAATGCAACGTGACACTTTGCGTACTGTTGGATGCATCTGAAGCATCCGCAGCCAGAGAGGGTGCACGCTCCTCCACAACCGTAAGGAATGATGTCAAGTCAGTGATGACGGAGCCTGTGAGAGCGTGGTTACCGTGGTTACCAATGAATGAGCCCACATGATACACTTGGTGGCAGATGTTGTGCTTTTGTAAAGCAGCCTCAACGTACTGGTTGCAAGGCCCATTGTCGAGCTTTGCCTTTGTGTGGGTCTGTTCGTGTTGGCTGATGTCACCCTGCAGAGCTGTGACCTGCTTCTGCATTTGCGTGGCAGCATGCTGGAGGTTGTTTTGCTGCTCCGGATTGCCAAAATGTTCTTCACAGCATTTGGGTGAGGGATGTTGCAAATTTGGAACGATAATTTGAAAGATCCGCCCCAATGATCTCCCCCCAACTTCACCCGAATCTCATCCTGCGGGATAACACCATGGTCGGTAAGCATGCCAGCCTCCTCGTACTGGTCCAAGAAGAAAAGGACAATCTCTCTGTGAGGTTGCATGCCATACCCATTGGCGATGAAACTACATCACCACTCGAAAGAGTGAACGGGCACATTTCGGAAGCATGAAGTGCAGGAACCTCTTCCGCAAGCTGCTGCCGCATGGTATTCTCTGACTCAATCTCACACCCAACGGACTTGAGCCACCTCCGCAGTTTCCTCAGCTGGTTCCAAGGCATGTGCAGATCTGCTTTTAAAGCAAGGGCAGAATGAGATGAAAGTGTACAAGGAGACACGCCAGCAGATTTAAGCAACTTTTCACCGTCTATCTGACCCATACTACGTAGCTCATAGGCATCTTGCTTACTGACACCAGCAGTGCCCCCACAAGCTACCTCTTTTGCCTGTCGGATTTCTTCCAACCTCCTCTGCATCCGCCTTACAGACACAGCATCACTGCCACCTTGCGTTGTACATACATACACAGCGTGGGTACCACCCTTCCGTAACTCAAGCTTACCGTCAACGGACTTCGACTGTACCAAGTGGATAGTCAAATGCTCCGCTGTCTCCCCGCGAAGCTTGTTGGGTGATGCTGTCAATACATCTGCGACAGTACTCAACCTGGTCACACAGGCAGGGCACAGGAAACTAAAAACTAACCCAGGAAAACAGGACGAAGAGCAGCCACAGCCTTTGGAAAACAGCCTCGGATGAACCCATCTCCTACACAACGACTTCAAAAACAAACACACTCTCAGAACTGGGAACGGCTCCAACGAAAACGAAACGGAGAAAGAAGATCGTTCGAACGATCGCGTTGTCAGTATGTTCTCTTGCACCCGCTGCACCGGAACTGGGTGTTCTGAGTGGTGTGTGAGCGATGTGGCGAGGCAATATCGATGGGTTTGAGACGTGGGCGAGGACCGCGAAATTGAGGCTCTCAACGAAAAATTTGAGAAAAAAACGCCGTTGATTGAGCTGGACTCGAACCCAGGGCCTCATGTCGCTTTTTCGCGAGTTTTGAACAGCCGAAAATTGACGAAAGAGTAGTAATTTTTCCACCGAAACTCACCCAAAGGGTGCCCGTAACTTCAGAGTCCGGATAGCCGAGGTATGAGTGTACATCCTAGGTGATGGTCAGCCTTGTGGGTGTGTGTGGGTGTGTGGGGGTGGGGGGTGGACTTCTCTTTGTACTTGGCTATGTGCATTTAGTTTTGAATTCCAGTATCATTTTGTCTGCTGGTTATACTGTACAGGTGGAGAACCAGAAGGTTACTGCATCAGCAGATGATTTGGCTGTCAAGGTGGGTGGGTGTGGCTTCTTGACTGGCTGGCTAGTGTCGCGTGTTTGTGTGCGCGTGCAAATAATTATGCATGTTGGGCCGTGCATGTATGCATGTCTGCCCTTGCATGCGTAATCTACCCCAGGAGAAGAGGTGTGCGTTATATTTGAAGTAGACGTGTATCTGTGCGGATGTGTGTGTGTGTGTGTGTGTGTGTGTGTGTGTGTGTGTGTGTGTGTGTGCATGTGCGCGTGTGTGAGTGTGTGTGTGTGTGTGTGTGTGTGTGTGTGTGTGTGCGTGTGTGTGTATGTGTGTGTGTGTATGTGTGTGTGCGTGTGTGTGCATATCGTGTTACAGGTGTATAAGTGCCATGACGGCAAGTGGAGGGTTGCTGAGCATTCTCTCAGGTGAGTCTGACCTGCAACCGAGCACTCATTAGCAGACCTGCAAGGGCTATATTCAGACCTTCACATACGAGTACAGTGAATGAATTATGACTCTGCACTCGAGCCAGTGACCCGTGTCTCGCTGTACCGGTATCCATTTTATTGTGAATTTTAAGCATAACACACTGAGTGAGTTGTGAAGACACTTGATACAGTGCTAGTCATGATTACTGGTGCTGTGTGACAGGGAGTCTGTGTGATGTGTTGGTAATGCTTGCTGAACTGGTCATTTGTTGCTCTGTCCTTGGAGAAAGTGATTTCTGAAAGCTGGGCTAGTTCTTGGGCCAAGTTTAGCTTGCAGAGCTGGAAAGGAGCCACTACGTACATACTACAGGTGTCCGTGGTGGTCTGATTGGCTTTAGCAACATCATAGGTCAGTGTCGGAGCGTTTCCCCTTTGCAATAGAGTCCTTGCATCTCTTCATTATTGCTCTCTTCTTTTCTGGTTCCATTCTTCCATTGTTTGTGGTGATGGGTGATTGGCATGGAGATACAGTCAGACCTCGCTTTGCCGGTCCTCTTTTATCTGGATCCCTCGCCATCCGGAAGAAAATAGCTGGTTATAGATTTACAGCATACGTGATGCATCCAACATATTATAAACCGGTGTTCGGTTATCCGAACCCCTCACCTATCTGGATATTTTTGTGGAAAACGGATGTGTGCGGTTAAGCGAAGTCTGACGGCACGTGTCTTGTATTTTAGAAGTATTCTGTGATTATTTCCCGCTCCTCTGCTCATTACAGCACGCTAGAAGGAGGAATGGCGTCGGTTGAGGTTGTAGCGAAGCTTCTACGCGAGCGTGGCTACGCAGACCTGGTCGACTTTGACAGTCATTTGGACGACGTGCGCCTGGACTGGCTCAACCCCAGCGTCAACAGTCTCATCTCGCTCTCCGAGAAGGTGTAGTGTCTGCCGCAGGCGTGTGTGTGGCGGCTAGGTAGAGAGTGTGTTGTGAATTCAACAGTGCCGCTCTGCAGTCTAAGGTATGGCACTGGTGATGTGTGAGAGTATGAGTGTTTAGGAGCGTTACTGCTGTGTTCCGACCTGGCCATTTGCCTGCATCTTCACAGTGGTCTTGGTCGACGGCGCCCAGTCGTTTAGAGTGCTGTATGCGTCATCGCAGACCAAGCAAGCACTCACTGCTGTACTGTATTGGTGTGTGGGTATTTCCCCTGAACAACACGCCGTGGTAGTGTGGAAGTATTGCCTCTGGGCTGCCATTGGCACCCGCTGTTGTTGATCCTCTTCCCGGCATGGCACAGCCAGTAGCACCGCGGTGCTGAGGGTGTATATTGACTGTTCAGCGGTTATGTACGAATCGCCGCGTTGATTGAGTGACCCACGGAGAACACCTGTGTCTGCTGCAACAGTGTCCACGGCAATGGTTGGGCTTGATTTGTTGCTAAGCAGCACTGTTACCAAGCAACCATCGTTCCTAGGCAGCACTGTTGCTAGGCAGCACCGTTGCTAAGCAGCCATCGTTGCTACTTTCATTATGAATATCACATGCTCTGAATACCCACGTAAAGGATGAATCCTCGCTGGGTTGTAGAGTAGTCAGCAATACTTCACCTTTCACATTCATGCCTCTCAACCCTTCCCCCAATCTTAGTAGTTTCTACTTGACTCTGCAAATGCCTCCGTGTTTTTTGTTGCAAGGACTTTAGTTTGCAGCACCGCCACATGAGTGGAGAGGTGACTGATTATTTATGTGAGCTCCAAGTAGCTCCTGCATGACCTAGTTATTTCAAAAACTTGTTTCCTAGCTCTAAGCTGTTTTTACCTGTGGTTTCCAGTTTCCACCTGCCCTGATGTCTCCTGTCATGTTTAGTGTTGGGACGTGTACCTTATTTCTTCATGAGTACTAGTGCTGTCAGCCAGCTATACACACGTTGGTTTTCGTTTCTGCGCGCGCGTGTGTAGGTGTGTGTGTGTGTGTGTGTGTGTGTGTGTGTGTGTGTGTGTGTGTGTGTGTGTGTGTCCCATATGGTGCAGTGGTATGTGCAGCGATTTCCAATCGATAGGTTGCGGGTTCGATTCCCGACGATTATGGTCACACACGTCTTTCTTCTCTTTCTCAGACTCTTCCTGACTTTTCTTTCATTCTCCTGGGTGGTTACCAACAGCCAGTGTATGCCGGAGTATGTGGTGTGGTGTGTGTGTAGAAAAAAAAGAAAAAAAGAAAAAATGGAAAAATGAAAAATAGGGATTCACTGGCCAGAAAAAGTCACTTCAAACAGCTGTGTGGTGGATACCAGGCTAAAAATAGTGGCGGTCAATTCATCAGCCTTGCAAGCTGTTGAATGGTGTAATCCCAGCACAAGTTGCTATGTCTAACATAGCTGTTCGCTATCATCGCTCCCGCGATGGGCATGTCTGAGGTCTGAGGTGTGCTTGCCAGTCAAAGAAAATAAAATGATCCAGACCTAGGTACGTGTATATCATTAGTAGCCATGGGTATGCATGCAGTGCACAGCGATTTCTAGTCAAAGTTTAGGAATTCTACTACATGTATGGTCTTTTGCGTGTGTGCGGATCTACCCAGCGACAATGGAGCAGCTCAGCACGGGGTGTGTGTGCAGTCAATTTTGCGTACAACGACACTCGGTGGGTCATCAGAAAAGTGTAATTATTCACGAAGTGTCCTCATACCCAAACTTGTCCCCAAGTCTCATGATATGTATACAGGTTAGATGGGACTTTGATCTGGGCATGGAAATTCTGTCGTTATTCGCGAATTGCCGTTATATCCGCAGCCGTTATTCGCGAATTGCCGTTATATCCGCAGCCGTTATTCGCGAAGTTGACTGTGCATCTGCTACACATACACCATTCCGGTGTTTGTTATATGACCTCTCTGCAAAGTGATATGTACGCGTGGATGGCACTGGACCCAGTCATGCCGCTGGACGTCAATGTGCACCACTCACAACCATACACTTACGAGCCGTATGGACAAAATCCTGCTATTCGGCCGGGTTTAGGCCAAGGTTTGACGTAGGAATATACAGAAAAGCGTTAGTTACGTCATGCTCTCATTGATATCTTCATAGTTGTCCATTGCAATGTTCAAACACCTAGCTACTGTATTAAAGTTGACGAATATTCGGCCCATTCAAATTTCGGCCTCCCAGGTCTGGAGCACATTTCGGCCGCGTTAAATTTTCGGCCTGTACTGCTGCTGACTGACACTGTCACACTGTACTTTGAAAAACAAAATTCCGGGCGCAGCACATTTTCGACCAAATACGCCCAGGCCGACAATAGCCGAAAATAAATATGCGCCGAATATTTGTTGACTTTAATACTGTAGAAGCCAAATATGTAACGAAGTGCTAACTCTAACGAGTTAACGAGGAGAAATCTGTCGTTAAAATAGAAATCGTTATACAGAAATCGATACATATACTGTCCTATTGAGCGTTGAGAATGAGTGAGAATCGTTACCTTTGGTACACGTAAACTAGTCAATTTTGGGAAATCGTTATATATGCGCCTCGTTAGAATAATGGCTTTTATAGTACAGTAACCCGAAATTGAGCAGCTGTCCATTGTATAAGCGTGCGGTAGTTGACTCGCATCCTTGAATTTTCATTCAACTAAACTGTACTGTGTGTGTGTGGGGGGGGGGGGGGGGAGGGCATGTGTGTACGCGTGTGCTCATCACATGGCAAAAGCTGGCATCCTCGAGATCGTGCGAAATATTTTGCTCGTTTATCAGGCAAATTCATCAGCGATTTGTCACCACCACTCCGTGCCCTGCAGTCATTGCAGATTCTCTTGAATACTACGCGCACTAGTATTGATGCTTTAGATGCTGCTCGTGTTGTATTATTATGACTTAAAAGTGCACACAATGGGTGGTGTCCAATGCTGTGCCGTGCAGTGCACGATTCTTGCTGCACCTGTGTTGGTATGTAGTGGCTGACATTGCGTAGGTATGACTCATGCAGGAGACCACCTGTGATGATGCTGAGATCACGCAGCGGCTCTGTCAGCTCAGCTCTGGGCAATGAGATGGCAGTCACTGGTGTGCTGTGTAAAAGCATTCCGATTGGTCGGCTTCTACCCGCGGGCTCTAAGCGTGTAAGTTTACTTACGTGTGTGTGCTTTTCTTGTCTTTGTCTTGCCCGGAGTCTCTCTTCACTTCCTCTTCCTCTCTCTCTGCTTATATCGCAAGGCTGAAACTCATCCCTGCAACTCTGCCCACGCTTTGCCAGCTCCCTCCAGACGACAAAGTCATCTCCAGGCTCTTGTTGTTGTAAGCATCTGCAGGCATTCACCAGTGCTGGACTCGTTACACACCTCCGTTGCTTGCTGACACGCTTTTCTGGACTTCCATGCTACGCTGTGTCTTATTGTTAAGAACACTTACCTGTGTGGGGATAGGGTGCGAGTGAGAAATCGTAGACGAGGCCATATTGACTGATACGGAGAGCCTCGTTATCGCTATCATGATAAGCGCACTGTTGCCATGTGTCCTGGCATAACATTCTAGTAAGCACTACACCAGCAGATCCCAGAGCTCCATCCCGCCGCCGCACTCATGTACGTACATATTACGTGTTAGTGTCTGACTGCCTGGATGTAGGCGCAGCGTGTCAATACTCCACTGCCTGGCCGCTGTCAATACTCCACTGCCTGGTCGCTGTCCCCAGGACACTGCCCCGGATTCTTGTGGCTCGCTGCTTGTCATCGTATTGACAGCTAACATGTCAACATGGACATATGGCAACTTGAACTGACACACACACAACACACACACACACACACACTCACACACACACACACACACACACACACAAACACACACACTGTGGGCACCTTAGCGCTCTACAAGTAGTTGACTTCTTAGTTGCTGATTTGAACAATACTGCTGACACTCTCGTTCTACTGTGGCTGCGACTGATGAGGTCGACGTCACGTGTCATGTCAAGATGTGCTTACTGGGTTTGTCATGGTGGCTTCATTAGACAAGTAAATTGAGTAGTGTAAACTTCCTGTACATTTCCCCAGCATCCCCGGTGTTTTAGGATTCAGACGCACTCCCAAGCCTGACAATGTGTGTTGCAAGGGCCATGACGTGAGCAGACAGTGAGATTTGTTGATTTTATTTTACAACAGGCCATGGTGCTTTTCCTTGTGCCCGATCTCGGCCTTTCACCTTTTGACAGATCGCAGTCCAACGCTCTGTGTGTGTGTGTGTGTGTGTGTGTGTGTGTGTGTGTGTGTGTCCGTGTGTGTATGTGTGTGTGTGTGTGTGTGTACACGTGTCACATCTCAGCAAGCGACACACGTATGAACAATACGATTGTCTATCGTGTGTTCCTGCCCTTCCGTTACCTTGTTATTGCACGTCTAGGTGTGCGTTTATGCGTATACATGTGTGCATGTGCGTCCCTAGAAGATTTGACAGCTTTGGGTAACGTCTATACAACATGTCACGACGCTGCGATACCATACACTTGGCAAGAGTCCAGCTCACTCAATGTCCATGTACTCTGCAGCTCGCAGGCGGTGTACGTTGCTGCACGTACGGCAGTTTGCTGCCCTGGGCGGGTTACGGTATGTACCTGTTAGGTTTTAGTTTAACTCTGTCTGGGCTTTGGGCTGCGGTGTCTCTGATGAATGTATGCCGGGCTTGTAGTAGATTGTGTGTGTGTGTGTTTGTGTGTGTGTGTGTGTCCCAGTGCGAGGTAGTACTGAGGATACAGTTTGTCTTGCTCATCGTTTCAGCCTTTAGTAGTACACAGTATGATGAGCAATGAAACTGTGTCTGCTGTTTCAGTAGGTCTCGAGGGGGCCGCCTTGTGTGCTTTACTTGTGTTGGGTTTTGGTTGTCGCTTTCCGTGTGCGTGTGTGTACATTTGTAATTGTGCCGCAGGTATATCCACCCATGTGTATCCGTTACCGCATTGTGGTGTTTCAATGGGTGACAGCAATACATCCCCTGTGTCCGATGTCTGAAAATGTGACAAAATCGTGTTTTGGCGTGCACTCCCTGTCCGATAAAACTGGTAGACAAATTTAAAGTTTGACTTGTGTAGGTTAGGCTGCAGCTCCTGTTATTTACAGGTCAGATCCACGGCCACATGTTGTACAGTGATACATGTACATTGTTGAATAATTGCAAGTAACCAGTATATGCAACGTGCATGCTGGCGAAGCCTTGACATCGTTTTTACAGCTTACTCTAAGCATACTTGACTGCTTGCTTGAAGAAAGATGCATGGTGGTGTCGGTGGCTTGAACTCACCGTTAGTATCTTAAATGCATGTGTTATTTTCAGGCATATCAGCTGCCAAAGAGCAGTGTTAAGACAACGTGTTCCACCATCACGTTATGATTGCTTTCTGCCACATCTCCAATGATTGTACAGTACACTACACTAGTGTGTGCCACCTGTCCACCAAGACTGAGATTGTTGGGGTTTCCCCTGACTGGCAATAAACAGACTGTTTTCTGTGAACATGCTGCGTAGCGCCATAGCGGCTCGTCAGGGCCAAGGGGGCTACACTGCGGTGCAGCTGTCACGATGTCCCCCTAAGCGTGTGTGTGTGTGTGTGTGTGTGTGTGTGTGTGTGTGTGTGTGTGTGTGTGTGTGTGTGCGTGCTGCTCACCGCAGGCTGGGCGTCTGGGGATAGGGCACGCCTGTTGCTACTGGCAGTTGGGTTGTGTGGGGAAGTTTGTTGATGTGTTTACACTGTGCCTGTTTTACCCACAGTCACACCGTGTTAGTGGTATGATTATGGCCATTGTGTTCCATATCCCATCTGGGTATACTTCGCCCAAACAACACTAAGCAAGTCCGCTAGTGCTTGTTGTGATTTCGGGCCATCAGTATCGATATCATGGTTATGGAAGTGTCATGACCTCGATTAAATGC